CCGGGCCAAGCCTGCCCCAACCACCCCGGCGGACGTGGGGAAACCTGACGGCCGAGCTGGGCCGCTTCCATGGCACGGTGCAGGATCTGGAGCGCCACCTGCGGGCTCACGGCTACCCGTTGCGGGCCAACCAGACTTACACGTCGGTGGCGCGCCATATCCACGAATACTTGCAGCGCCGTCTGGCGGCCGGCTCCCCCGCCCCCCTGCCTCGTCGTCCCCATCCCACAGCCAGCCCTGACCCTGGCACCTGGAAGCGGGACTCCAACCAGGGCATCTACGGCCTCTCGCCTGAAGGCGTCGACCGGGTGGCTGCGCCACGCCACCCCAAGCCCGAGGTGCTGGGCAGTTCCGCCGACGGCGCGCTTCTGGTGTCTCTTGATGGGCTCCGCGGCCAGTTCGAGCGCGTGGTGTTGCGCTGGCGGCCCCAGCCGCCCGCAGAGGGCCCCGGCGGTGAGCTGGCCGTGCCGGGCACCGCGCGCACCGTCAGCCTACCCGACCTCAGGCCCGGCACCACCTACCACGTGGAGGTCCACGGGGTGCGGGCGGGGCAGACCTCCAAGTCCTACGCCTTCATCACCACCACAGGTAGCGTGGGCTGGGGCTGCGGGACACCCATCCCCTGTCCAGTCTCACCTGCCGTTGGAGTCTGCACACCCGTCTGTCTTTGGGCCCTACCTGGCTCAGGCTCCAGGGGACCCCCGCAACAAAGCACGCCCTCCTGTGTCCCTAGAAGCCACCCCCACCCCAGGGTCCTGGCATCATCCTGTGGATATGTAAGGCCAAGGCAACCCTGTCTTTTGGGTTCCCAGGGCACTTCTGCCAGGATTGCCGTTTTAGGCAATAGAAAGGACATGGGGGAGGTGGACGTGGCAAAGATTCACTGGAGCAGTTTGGGGCAGGGATTGAAACCAATGATTCTCATTTTGACTCACTGTGGTGAGGGTGGCTAAAGACTGTGGTCAGTGGTTACTGTCTTCCACGTCTTGACCTTGAAGGGACATATCGGAACTGCTTGGGGGTGGCCTGGATGCCACCAGGCAGCATGTGTATGTGAGGGGTGTGAAACCACTGCTTCTTGAGCTGCCTTTTCAGACCTCTTGGCTCACTTTATGCTGGTTTCTCCCACAGGAACGATACCTGGGCTTGAGAACAGGGTGCTCTGTGACTGCTGTGGGGAGGGTGGTGGACCTCTTCTTTCCCCACAGGGCCCAGATGCCACCTGACCTGGATATCCACCCCTACATCCTCTCTTTCTTCTCACTGCCCACTCTCCTCTTGCATCCTCCCTAACACCACTGTCTCCTCCTTTCTTCCAGGCTTCTCACTGCAGCACTAATGGAGGCCTCCTGACCACCACCGGGGGCAGGGGGAGGGGTGTGGAGGTGGAAGTCTCTGGGAGTTGAAGGTCACACAAGCCTTTTGGGGGAGGGATAGCAGGCTTTATTTTATTTATTGCCTGCCCTAAGCACTGGCATGTCCAAGAATGTGTTAGATGGGGGTGTTTGGAGGACTGGCAGACCTTTGGGAGGATGGGGCAGTTCAGGTGGTGGAACCAGGAGCAGAAAAGGGGAGGATCTCTAGGCTCTTAGAAGCTGGAGGGCAGAATCTGGGGCTGGAGATTCCTTTCTGGCTCTCATATGCAACTCTCCTCTTTTTCTTCCCCCACCCCTTCCCAGGGTCCTCACCCTCGGGCCTCTTGGGGGCTACTGATGAGCCTCCTCCTTCAGGCCCCTCAACGACCCAAGGGGCTAAGGCCCCTCTCCTGCAGCAGCGCCCACAGGAGCTGGGAGAGTTGAGGGTGCTGGGCAGAGACGAGACAGGGCATCTCCGCGTGGCCTGGACTGCCCAGCCCGACACCTTTGCCCACTTCCAGCTGCACCTGCGGGTGCCTGAGGGGCCAGGGACACATGAGGAGCTGCTGCCAGGGGACGTCCGCCAGGCTCTGGTGTCCCCACCCCCTCCTGGAGCCCCTTACGAGCTGTTACTTCGTGGGATACCCCCTGGGGGCGAGCCCTCTGACCCCATCATCTATCAAGGCATTATGGGTACATTCTGGACTTTGCTCAGACCAGTGTCCTGAGAATGGGGGAGGAGATGGGGCCATCAGGACATCAGAGGTGGGGTGGATATTGAGGGGCCAGTGAAGGGCAGGGCTGGAAGGTAAGAGAAAAGGAATTGTGGGTTCAGAGGGAAGATAGATGGAGGGGAGATCTTAGAACAATGGAGGTGGGTGGAGACAGGGAACAACTCTGGAGAAGAAGGCAGGAGAAAAGTCTGAGGATGGACAGAGGTTCAAGGAGAGAGGCTGTAGGCTCCTGGCCCTCCATGTGCAACTTTCCTTGCCCTGTGTCCTGCCCCCACTTCCTAGTTACTCCTCTGCCCTACCCTGCCCTGCAGCTCTCTCAGGGTGAGCATGGGAAGGCCTCTGGACACTGACCCTCAGCCCCCTCCATCCCATCCCTTTCTCACAACTCCCACCACCTTCTCCCTGGGGGCCTCACCTGCAGTGGACAACAGCCTATGGTCCCATCAACCAGTTTCTACTAGGGGTGAAGGCTCCTTGGGGAAGAGAGCTCTACAACCATTAGGACTTCAGAGATGGGAAAGACTTGTGGGACTAGTGAAGGACAGGGCCTGGGAGCTTGGCTCCCACATCCCCTCTTGGTTCCTCTCTTGGGACCAGGGTGGCTGACTCTTCCTCCAACTCCAGGTCAAGTCCACCACTGGGGGAGAGGGTGGCATAGGAGCCACCAAGGAGCCCTCAAACTACTCTGAAGCAACAGTGGGGAGGCTTGAAATCCTCAGGCAGAACTAAAGGGGACCTGAAACTCCCCCCAAAGATCCTGGTTTGCAGAGGGACTAAGACCTTGTGCAGGATGGAGAAACTGTCACAAGAGAAGGAACAGAGATTGAGGGGGAAATGTCTCCCTTCCAGGAAAGCTGGTCACAGGGGTAGAGGGATAGAGGTTTTATTGGGATGGAATGAGGTGGGCAGGGGAGAGGGAAGGAGACAGGGGACAAGGGAATGGTTGAGTCCACTGTGGTTTGCTTTTGCCCCCTAAATCCCAGACAGGGATAAGGAGAAGCCTGGGAAGTCCTCAGGTCCACCAAGCCTGGGCAAGCTGACGGTGACAGACATGACATCTGATTCCCTGCTGCTGCACTGGACGGTCCCTGAGGGCGAGTTTGACTCCTTTGTGATCCAGTACAAGGACAGGGATGGGCAGCCTCAAGTGGTGCCTGTGGACGGGCCCCAGCGCTCAGCCCCCATTACCTCCCTGGACCCTGGCCGCAAGTACAAATTCATCCTGTATGGGCTTGTTGGCAAGAAGAGGCATGGCCCCCTCATGACTGAAGCCAAGATCCGTGAGTAAGAGCAGTCATACCTTCCCTTACCCTCTGTACTGTCCTGAAGGAGGTCTTCCAGTGCTTTGGGAACCTGTTTTGGGAGCTCCAGAAAGGCTTCCTGGAGGTAGTAGTATCTGAGCTGAATTCTGAAGAGAAAGTAGTGGTGGGGCAGGCGGAGAGATTGAAGAGGCCAGTGTAGCCAGAGAGAGCATTGGTGAGTGAGGCAGGGGAGAAAGTGGCCTGAGGAGAATTGATGTCACTCTTTCCTCTGGCTGGAGAGCCCGGCATAAGGGGAGCTCAAGGCCTGGTCTTAGGGCTTCCTATGAGGGACGTGAGTCTCATTTGTGGATTCCAGGAGGACTTTGAAGGTTATAGTGGCATGACTAGATATTTATCTTACAAATAGCACTGTGGCTACTGCAGAGGCTAGCTGGAAAGTGAGTTAAGAGCTAGCAAGAAGCCAGGCTCGGTGGCTCAGCCTGTAATCCCACTCCTTTGGGAGGCTGAGGTGAGTGGATTGCCTGAGCCCATGAGTTCGAGACCCGCCTGGGCAGCAAGACCTCATCTCTACAATAAATCAAAAAATCAGCCGGGTGTGGTAGCGCATGCCTGTAATTCCAGCTACTTGGAAGGCTGAGGCGGAAGGATCGCAGGAGCCCAGCAGGTCGAGGCTGTGGTGGCCGGGAGCAGCCACTGCACTCCAGTCTGGGCGACAGAGTGAGACTCCAACTCAAAAAAAAAAAAAAAGAGCTAGCAAGAAACAGTGACTTGGCTGCGATGGTGGCAGTGGGACTAGATGTGGGAGGTGAGGGAGAGCGAGGAGGCCCAGACAGCCCCCAGGATTCTAGATCAGACAGTCCCATTCCCTGAGGCAGGGAGCAGCAGAGGTAGGGAACAATCTTTTGCCCATTTACTGAGAGTCAGAGGCGTTCCAAGTATATCATCATACTTCTTAAACCACACCTGGAAGGCATGCCCGCTTTGCAGATGAGCAGAATTTTTTGTAGATGAGAACTGAGGCACAGAGAGGAAGAGGTCTCCCAGGCAGAAAGTGATGGGGCCTTTGGGTCACACTGCTGCCCTCGTGGGTCTGGAAAGCAGAGAAGGCCTGATGAGGGGATTGTGGGTGTGGTCAGTGCCCATGGACAGGAGCCAGGGTGAGAGTGGTGGGGAGGGAAGAGACGGGGCAACAGGGATGCTGGGGATGGCCAACACTCAGAGCACAGCAAAGGAAAAGGAATGTACAGGGTAGCCTGAGGGTGACTTGCAGGAAACTGCAGAACCAGGGAGAGTGGTGTCCTGGACTCCAGGAAGGAGGGTGCGGTCGGACTTGTCAGATTCTGGAAAAGTGATTCAGGAGCTACAGTGCTCACAGGACTTAGTAATGGCAAGGTCACCATCAGCCCCAATGAGAGCTGCTGCCTGACTGAGGGTCGGAGCTGGGTTGGGAAGGTCATGGAAGCGAGGACAAGGCTACAACCAGAGTAGACATCGCTTTCTGGAATCTGGACTAGGACTAGAGAGGGAAGAGGGAAGACGGAGGCTGGCAGGTAAAATGCACAGAATGGGGGAGTAGGGTACAGCAGGAGCTTATTTTGATGCTGATGGCACAGTCAGTAGGGAGTGAAGGGTTGGTGGTACAGGGTGGGGAAGTCACCCATGGGTCCAGGTTCCCTAGAAGGCAAAGAGGCCCAGAGCCTCTTTGGAAGGTGTGGGAGGCTGTCCTACATTAAACACTTTGTGGTTCTGGAAAGCAGAGAAGGCCTGGTGAGAGGATTGTGGGTGTGGTCAGTGCCCATGGACAGGAGCCAGGGTGAGAGTGGTGGAGGGAAGGAACAGACAGGGCAGCTGGGATGTCATGCTTGCCTCTCTTGAAAGAGAAACCAGCTAGTAGTTAGACTTGGAAGCAGTGGAGTTTGTACTGGTAAGATTTCCCTGGCTGTGGAGACGTGAAAAGTACTGGCTGGGCCCTCTCTTTCTGAAGCTCCCCACTCCCCGAGGCTGTGAATAGTCAAGGCCACACACTCATTCATACGGTGCTTCCATGCCATTTGGAAGAAGACACCCCTTTCTCTAGGTGGACATAGCTTCTTGCCAGGGCATACAGCTCGGAAAGCCGAGTGCTGGCTGGATTTCTGTTCCTCTGCACTCCCTCAGCAATGCACTTTTTGCAATGAACAGCCCACACAACCTCACACAACCTTCCTACATGGGAGGTGTGTTCTTGCTTCTCCTGTGACGTGTGTCCCTCTCTTCTTTCTACCCCTTCTTCCTAGTGCCTCGGAGTGACTCAAGCCCAGGGATTATACCTCGCCTGGGAAAACTGTGGGTAACAGACCCAACCTCCGACTCACTGCACCTTTCTTGGACTGTCCCTGAGGGCCAGTTTGACACCTTCATGGTCCAGTACAGGGACAGGGGTGGACGGCCCCACGTGGTACCTGTGGAAGGGCCTGAGCGTTCAGTCACTGTCTCCCCCTTGGACCCTGACCACAAGTACAGATTCACTCTGTTTGGGATTGCCAAAAAGAAGCGGTACGGCCCCCTCACAGCCGATGGCACCACTGGTGAGTAGTGGCAGCCACCTCAGCTCCCATGTGACCCCTTGCAGCCTTCCGCACACTAGCCCTCAGCCAGAAACCAGCTGGGGCCCCAGCAAGATGACCTACTCCAGCATCCTGGCCCTGCTCCTGAGCTGAGGGGCTGCCAGCCTCCCCCACACTGCTGGGCCCCTTCCATCCCATGCAGCTGCTCCCCAAGGCCCAGAAGGTGTGTCATACCCTGGCTGCGCCAGACTTCCCAGAAGTTTAGCACTCACACGAATCAAATAGTGACCCCTCCCCCAGGTGTGGCATCCCGTCCAAACTCCAACCCCAAACTCAGGTTGCCAGTTCAGCACCTGGCTGGATCCTCTTGTTTACATCCCCAGAAAGGAAAAAGGAGGCCTCCCACCCTGAGTCTCTGGAGCAGCTCCTCCTGGGCAAACTGACAGTGACTGGCGTGACCCCAGACTCCCTGCACCTCTCGTGGACGGTGGCCCAGGGCCCCTTGGACTCATTTGTGGTGCAGTACAAGGATGCACAGGGGCAGCCCCAGGCAGTGCCTATTGGGGGGGATGAGAACGAGGTCACTATCCCTGGCCTAGAACCCAACCGGAAGTATCAAATGGACCTCTACGGGCTTCGTGGCGGGCAGCGTGTGGGGCCTGTGTCTGTGGTGGCTAAGACAGGTGAGTCAGGGCCATTTGGCCCCCACCTCCTTTTCCAGCCTCCCTCTACCTTCTTCTCAGCCAATTCTGTCAAAGCCTCCACCCACCTCCTCCCCCTCAGCTCTCCTGTCCTCCATATCCATCCTTATCCATCCTTATCCATCCTTCAGCTCTTGTCTTTTCTCGGTCCTGCTTCTCCATCTCCAAGGGCAGGTCCCATTTTTCCCTGTTCCAAGCTCCTGGACATATCCCTGCACCCAAGGCTGTCCTCCCCTCAGATATTCTCACTATTCAGCCACTGTATTCTTACCCCATAGTTTTTACTGGGCTCCTTCACGGCTTGATTCAGGCCATGGTCACTTCTGAGTTTCTGTCACCTGCTCCCTGAACCTTGCTGCCATTCCTGCTCTGTTCAGAAGCGGCAGATCCAAGGAGCAGGAGCACCATATTCCCCAGCCTCTTTGTGGCACAAAAAGGCCTTCTCTCAGCCCTGACTCCCTGATTCCCAACCAGCTCAAAGCAGGGACAAGGGCTCATTTTCAGTCCAGTCTCCCAGCCTTGTCCTCCATATCTCTAGCCTCTCCCTATCTGGCACAATTTCCATGGCCTGTGGATTCTTTGCTGAGAGGTAGTGTGGCGTAGTGGTGGAGTGGTGGGAGTAGTCTTGAGCCAACTCCCCGAATCTCACTACCAGCTTTGCAACTTACTACCTATGGAACCTTGTACAAGCTACTCAACCTCTCTGCCTCAACTTTCCCTTCTGTCAAGCGGGGACAATAATGGTTACCACTACACAGAGCTGTTCGAATTAAGTGAGTATGGGTATCTGTAGCACTTAGAATAGTGCATGGTGCATCAAAACAGTTATTTAAGAGTGAGCTGCTGCTTCCCCCTGACTCTCACTTTTCAGTAACCTCTTTTGCTCCTCATCTCCCTACCTTCCCCATCCTTGCCTGGGTTGTCATTCTTGACTGTTCCCTCCTCAGTCTCCCATCCAGAGTAGTCCCCCATAGACTGGGGAGTGGGTCACAGAAGGGCTGGCTTCCCTTGTACGCCAGTCTCCCTACTCCATGGAGCCTCAGCAGAGACCTAACTGCAGGAGGTGGCAGGTAGGTGCCCATAGGGGTGTGACTCCAGAGCCACCCAGGGAAGGGCAGGGCCCTTCCCAGCCCCACAGCAATAAATTCCTTCGGGTTAAAGTGGAGGGAGGGGCAGGGCTGCCTGGAGAAGTCTTAGCAGGAGCACATTCCACAGTCCTGTCCTGATAGGACAGTCAGAGCCTGCTGGGGAGGGCACAGGTGAGAAGAGACCTCACTGCCCTTCCTCCTTTCTGAGGTTAGCACCGTCTGTCTCATGTAGCCTTTTTTTTGAGTTGGAGTCTCACTCTGTCGCCCAGATGGGAGTGCAGGCCGCTCCTGGCCACCATAGCCTCGACCTGCTGGGCTCTGGCGATCCTTCCGCCTCAGCCTTCCAAGTAGCCGGAATTACAGGCGCGTGCTACCACGCCCGGCTGATTTTTGATTTATTGTAGAGATGAGGTCTCGCCTGCCCAGGCGGGTCTTGAACCCACGGGCTCAGGCAATCCACTCACCTCAGCCTCCCAAAGGCGCGGGATTACAGGCTGAACCACCGAGCCTGGCTCATGTAGCCTTTGTATTTGCCATTTGGTCAGCACTGCCTGTGAACGTGGTATAGAAGGACCCTCAGAGGTTTCCTCTTTTCCCATCTCAGTTCCTTTCTCAGACATGAGAGGAGGCCTCTCACCCCTACCGAACCCACCAGTGCAGGATGGGTTGGGGGCTGTCTCAGCTTTCTTCATCCATGAGTGACCAAATGGCAAATACAAAGGCTACATGCGCCCCTCAGCCTACAGCTGGAGAAGCAAGTTTGATGAATGTACTCTTGTGGACAGCACCAGCAAAGCGAGTTGCCCTTTAAGCTTCTATCCCTATCTTTTCTCTCAGCTCCTCAGGATGTTGTGGATGAGACCCCCAGTCCCACAGAACCCAGCACTGAAGCCCCAGAGCCCCCTGAAGAGCCTCTCCTAGGGGAGCTGACAGTGACAGGATCATCCCCAGACTCACTCGGCCTCTCCTGGACCGTCCCCCAGGGCCGCTTTGATTCCTTCATCATCCAGTACAAGGACAGGGGCGGGCGGCCTCAGGCAGTACGTGTTGCTGGCAAGGAGAACGAGGTCACCGTGGGGGGCCTGGAGCCCCAGCACAAGTACAAGATGCACCTGTATGGTCTCCACAAGGGGCAGCGCGTGGGCCCTGTGTCCACTGTGGGAGTGACAGGTGAGTGAGGAGCAGACACCTGGTTTGCTTCCCTCCCAGTGCTGGCCCCAGCTTCCCTGTGGCCAGTTGCTGTCCCTTGCTTTGGCAGAACCACGAGACCCCATGACCCTGAGCAAGTTTTAAACCTTCTGTGCTTCTGTTTCCTTGTCTGTAAAATGAGGGTAACACCTACTTCACTCTTCTGAGAACTAAGTGAGTTAACAGATACAAAGCACTAAGAATGGGCCTGGCACAAAATAACATGCTATCAGTGTTTACTGTTATGCTTATTATAATTATATTTATTTTTAGTGTTTAGCTTATTATTATTATCTTGTATAGAGATGGGGTCTTGCTGTGTTGCCCAGGTTGGTCTTGAATCCATAGCCCCAAGCAACTTCCCACCTTGGCCTCCTAAAGTGCGGGATTACAGGCGTGAGCCACCATGCCCAGCCTATAATTATCTTTTTTCTTTCTTTCTTTTTTGAGTAGGAGTCTCACTCTGTCACCCAGGCTGGAGTGTAGTGGCACTCAACCTGCTGGGTTCGGGTGATCCTTCTGCCTCAGCCTTCTAAATAGCTGGAGGTGTGCCACCATGCCAGGCTAATTTTTTGATTTATTGTAGAGACAAGGTCTCACCAAGTTGCCCAAGCTGTTCTCAAACCCCTGGTCTCACCCAGTTTCCTTTGATCTCAGAAGCTCAGCAGGGTTGGGCCTGGTTAGTATTTGGATGGGAGAATGTGCATGAGACAACATTGACCTCTTTATCAGTGCAGCTCAGCACTTTCTTTAACATTCATCCAATGAGAAATTTGACAGCAGAGAAGACTATCTCTTCCACCCTCTCTCTCAGGCCTGGCTTGGGGCCACATTGACCACTACTAGGGACCCACTGTGGGTACCTCCTCTCCAGGGCCTCAGCCCAAGAGACTAGGTGGGCACCAGTGCCTCTGGGACCCTCTTGCAGACCTGCCTGATTTGGTCTCAGTGAGGAACATCTCTTTTTCTCTTTGCTCAATGAAACAAAGACACAAGTTGTTCTAAAACAACTTTTACTATGAGGAAAAAGATAAAAAACTTAGAGGTAGAGAAACAGGTCATTTTTGAGAACATCCTTTCTGTACTTCCACAAAATTCAACCTCATAATGACTTGGTTAATTTAGTTTCCAGACCCTTCCACTCCCCTTCTTTTCTTGCCTCATTCAGCACTGATCAAGGGGGGGAAACTACCCTTGGTTACTCTCCTCAAGGGCTGAGGTGGTAGTGTGGAGCTGGTGTCAGGCCCAGATATGCTGCCAAGGTTTTCCCTTAGTTGATCCTTGGTCTGTCCCTCTTTCCAGGGAGCTACTCTGTGAGCTCTGTCCCTGGTCCCTGGGAAACAGTCGGGCTCTATCAGGCAGTGACTGACATGGTACTATAGAGTAAAATTGAGATTTGGAGTCTGACAAACCAAGTTCCATTCCTGGCTTTCCCTGTTCTCAGCTGTGTGATCTTGAAAAACTTACCTCCTCTTCTGGAATCTCAACTTCCTCATCTTTGAGATGGAGCAGATGCCACCCAGCTTGTTGTAACGGTCAGAGGTAGTAATATAACATGTCTAGCATGTTCTCAGCTCATTTGTCTTTGCTCTGACCTTCCCAAGGAGAAATCACTGTCTATCCATGTTCTAATGCTGACTGTTCTGAAACATGTATTTTACACATCCTGGATAAAATGGATGAGGCCCTTTAAGAAAGAAATGGGCATCGGTGTTCATTATTAGAGCAGCAAGAGATGAAGTAGCTGGAGCCGACTGAGCACTGGAGGCTGTGCCTGGCGCACACAGCTCATGCGGTGCCGTTGCCAGGAGAAGAGATGCGTGGAGCTCGTTAGAAACACTTCTAAATTGGAAAAGGACTGTCCCAGATGCAGCATGGGGACTGCCATACTCATGAATAGTCATAATTGCTCCTTTTCCGGTTAAGCTGAACCACCAACAATAAGGCTTGATGGTAAAGGACAGTTTCATCCTTCATGGAAAGAGAGGACAAAACAAGTGGGAAATGGATGCTGCAGGAACTAGGAAGGTTAGAAGACGAATGAAATGAAAGAACATGGCTAGCTTGGTGTCTGTACATCGTAGATGTTCAGTACTTAGTGGTCACTCTGGTCCCTCCTCCCCTGCTTCAGCTACCTCCATCCCTGTCCTCCCCACCCAAACTCATTTCTATCTGCCTGAGACCTGGTCACCAACCCGTTTTAAGCAGGTGTCACCTGTCTGGAGCCTAGTCTTGTCCTCTCACAGACTACAGAGAAACAAGCTCCTGGAAGCCCCATCCAGCCACCCCCTCTGCCATCTTGCCTCTTGGGACCACCTTCCAGTTCAGTCACTAATGAGGAATGCCTCCTTCCCCACCTCAGCTCACTCTGGGATGGTGGGGACTGGCAGGTCCTAAGCTCAGCCTTTCCCAGACCTGCAGGCCATTCACTGATCTTACATGTGTTGGGCACCTACTGTGTGCTAGGCACTAGGACACGGCAGTGAGCAAGGCAAAGCTCCTGCATGTGGAGTGCCCATTCTAGTAGAGGGGGTCAGGCAACACTCCTCACCATTTGTCAGTGGTACCATATGTGACAGTGACTAGAGCAGTGGAGAAGAGCAAGCCCTGTAGGTGAGATGGATAGGGCCTCACCAAGATGACGATGTCTGAGGAAGCCCTGAGGGAGGTGAGAGGGCAGCCACTCAGGTCTTTGGGGAAAGAGCATCCCAGACAGAGGGAAGAGCAAAGGCAAAGACTGATAGGTGGGAATGTCTGCCCCGAATGTCTGCAAACAGCGAGGGAATGCAGTGTGTTTTGCCGTGGAGCTGGAGGGAGGCAGGCAGTAGGGGGTGATGTGAGAGATGAACATATGGGACCTCAGAGGCCATCGGAAGGACCTGGCTTTTACTCTAAGTGAAGTGGAAGCTGTTGTGGGAACAGGCTCTGGCTAATGTGTTAACAGGATCCTCTGGCTGCAGACCCAACAGACAAAGTGGGGATGATCGGAGACACTGTTGTGCTAATCCAGTAAGAGCCTGTGGTGCTTGGAGGTGGCAAGTTGGGGCCAGGCTCAGAAGGGAATGACAACAGGACTTACCCATGGGGCGGATATGAGTGATAGGCCTCAGGATGACTCTGAGGTGTTTGACCCAAGCACTTGGAAGAATGAAGTTGTTATTTTACTGAGGTAGGGAGGCTGTGGAGGCAGTAGGTGTCGGGAGATGCTCAGGAGCCCAGTTTGGGACTGACTGAGTTTGACATACCAATTAGGCATCTAAGGAAGATGTTGTGAAAACACAAGTCTGGGGGTCGGAGTAAGGTCTTCACAGGGGGTATAAATTTGGAGTCATTGACATACAGATGGAATTTCAGCCACTTTCCCAGGGACTCAGTGATGGTTGATGCCTCTCTGCCCCCAGCAGTGCAAGCTCAGATACCTGGCAGAAACCCAGTGAAGGACTGTTAGCCAGACAGATGTGCCAATCCATGCACATTTACATCAAAACCACTTCATGGATAACACAAAAACAACAGATATAATTACTACCAAGGAAAAGAGGATCTTTACCTAACATCCCCTATCATCTTTATCCAACCCCACAAATAGAAGAAGAGACTCCTCCAGCCACTGAGCCCCCGCTGGAGCCACGCCTGGAAGACCTGACAGTTATGGATGTGACCCCCAACTCCGTGGGCCTCTCGTGGATGGTTCCTTTGGGTGAATTCGACTCCTTCATGGTCCAGTACAAGGACAGGGATGGGCAGCCTCAGGTGGTGCCAGTGGCCGCAGACCAGCGGGAGGTCACAGTCTCTAACCTGGAACCTGCAAGAAAATATAAGATGAACGTCTATGGGCTACATGGCAGGAAACGTGTGGGCCCCCTCTCTGTGGTAGCCATGACTGGTGAGTGAGGGGGTGAGGCTGTCCCCATTCCTGGTTACCCCAAGCTCCCTCCACCCCACCCATAGCCCTGCCTCAGCCCTGCCTCAGTGACTGCAGGTCGCTGCTGAGCTCACAGGCATCTTAGTCTGTTCCCTGACCCCTTGGCTCCTTCCCAGGGCTGGAACCTTCCCAGCTCTCCAGTTCCTTCCCCATCTCCACTTCACCCCCTCACCCGCGGGAATGTCTTCTTTCCATTTGGCCTACATCCAGCAACAGACTCTCTCTCCCTCTCCAGTTGTCCACAGCTGTTCCTCCCCTTCTCTTTACAACCCTGCTGTGACTTGGACACAGCTGCCACCTCCGGCTTCTGCCCTTTTTTACTGGGGTTAAACGCCACACATCCCTGAATCCCTTCTCAGAAGTCCTAAGCCACCTGGCCTGAGCTGCATTCCTTTCTGGCCCTCGCCGGCTTTTCATCTCTCCCAGAAGCTGCCCTCTCTCCTATTTCTGGTTCCTTTCTGCCCCTCATGCTTCCTGGGCATAGGTTCTCCACGATTTTATGCTGTGGCATCCAGTGAAACTCCTAGCCCCTCTCAGAGCAATGTTTTAAAATCTATAAAATAAAATGTATAGGGTTACAAAGGAAACCAATTATACTGATATGCAACTATCAAAATATTTCTTAAAAATTCAAATTTATGATTTGGTAATACTTGGACTTATGTATTCATTCCTAAATAACAAGACTTGGTGATGTGTTTGCTAGGCTATGGCATTTAGAAGTAGTGATAAGTGAAAATAGTATTTCAAAGTTTCTGTGATAACTCTAAGGTGATATGAAAACATCTGAAGCTGGGCTTGGTGGCTCAGCCTGTAATCCTGCACCTTGGGAGGCTGAGGTGAGTGGATTGCCTGAGCCCGCGGGTTCAAGACCCGCCTGGGCAACTTGGCAAGACCTCATCTCTACAATAAATCAAAAAATCAGCCGGGCATGGTAGTGCACGCCTGTAGTTCCAGCTACTTGGAAGGCTGAGGTGGAAGGATTGCCGGAGCCCAGCAGGTCGAGGCTGCGGTGGCCGGGAGCAGCCACTGCACTCCAGTTTGGGCGACAGAGTGAGACTCCAACTCAAAAAAAGAAAAAGAAAAAGAAAAAGAAAACATCTGTGATTTCTATTGGTGACAAAGTCACAATAATACTCCCATGGTTGGTTTCCTATATTGGTCCTTAAAGGACCTATACTGGTCCTTCATTGGTCCTGTGTTGATTCTTCATATGTCCTATTGGCTGCATTTCAGTTAGAGGTCTGAAAATAAAGGTGAACTGCTTCCCCATCTCAGTTCACAGTCATCTTGAGGCCTTTGGAGCCAAGGGGTTCTCCCCTTGGAGAGCTCAGCAATGTTCTTTGTCTTCCCGGATCCTAGCTCCCCTCCCACCAGCCCCAGCCACAGAGGCCTCTGAGCTCCCCATGGAGCCACTCCTGGGGGAGCTGACAGTGACAGACGTGACCCCTGACTCCGTGGGCCTCTCGTGGACAGTCCCTGAGGGTGAATTCGACTCCTTCGTGGTCCAGTACAAGGACAGGGATGGACAGCCCCAGGTTGTGCCAGTGGCTTCAAACCAGCGAGAGGTCACCATCCCTGGCCTGCAGCCCTCCCGCAAGTACAAGTTCCTGCTCTTTGGGATCCAGGATGGGAAACGACGCAGCCCAGTCTCTGTGGAGACAAAGACGGGTGAGAGGGGCCCCCACGCAGCTGACCCTGAGGCCCCAGCCTTCCCTCCCTCCCTTGTACTCCCTCTACCAGATTCCTTTGTCCACCTCCTCTGTCTCATTTGAAAAGCCACACTGCCTGCCCCAGTTCGAAGCAGACAAAGACTGAAGAATGGGGCCAGTTCCTGGGTCTGTTCTCTCTTGCCGACTTTGCTTCTCTTCTCATAATTTCTACTTCTGTTGGATGAGAGAAGCCCCCACAGCCCTCTTCCTGGAGTTTGGAATGTGGGAGACAGGGGCTGCTGGGAAAGGGGGTGAGAATAGCCAGGAGCCCTTCCTCCCTCCTTGGGCTTGCAGAACCATCACCTCCTGAGAGTTTTTACCATCTTCCCTGTGACTCTCACCCACCTCTTACTCTCCTGGCTTAGGCCCGTCTGGGCCATATCTGCCTCCTGCAGAGGCTCCCCTTCCTCCACTGCCCTTCTCCTAGAGCCTTGGAAATTGGGAACCATAGGAGCCCAGGCCAGCTGTGCCTTTTTCCTGGGGTTCAGTCAAGGCTCTCCCCTCCCCCTGGGGCCTCCTTGTTGCCAGAACACTCTCAATAACAATGCCGTCAGCGTCCTTGCTGTCCAGGAAGGCAGCAGGCCAGCTCCTTCCCAGGCCCTGGGATGGCTTCTTGGGCAGACACCAGATCCCTTCCCTGTCTGAGCTCCCTGACTTTATCCCCCTGCTGACACGCACAGGCAACCCCTATTCTTTCACCAGGCCCTGAGGGAGTCTTCGTTCTCCCAGGCCAGCCTGTGCAGAATGAGCAAGGGAACAGAGGAGGAGCGAGAAACACCTATGTCATAACAGTCTTCCTCCCCCACCTGCTGTCTGCCGTCCTCAGGGATCCTCTACCCCTCAGGGCCAGCCAAATTACAAAGTGTGTCTCCTGGGTCAGAGGAGATAAAGACCAAGTCTGTGATAAGCTGCACCCTGCTAGGGAGATACACTCTAAGAAGTGGAAGGAGGCTGGGCAACAAGAGAAACAGGATGAGGAGGGAAGCTAGGGAATCTCTTTTCCCCAGGGTGAACTCAGGGCTGGAGACCCCTCTCCACTTTGGTCAAGTGGAGAGAGGTGTGGGCCAGATGGAGATGGTGGCAAGGATGGGAGTTGATGGAAATATTTTGGGGAAGCACTGAGCATTTGGGCAGTTCTGGGTTTTTCCAACCCCAGAGAGAGGCAGTTAAGGAATCATTTTGGAAAAAATAAACACAAGAATCTTTCCTCTCTGTCAGCTGCCCGAGGTGACGCCAGCCCAGGGGCTCCACCCCACCTTGGGGAGCTGTGGGTGATGGACCCCACCCCAGACTCGCTGCGCCTCTCCTGGACAGTCCCCGAGGGCCAGTTTGACTCTTTTCTGGTCCAGTTCAAGGACAAGGATGGGCCTCAGGTGGTGCCTGTGGGGGGCCATGAGCGTTCTGTCACCATCAGCCCCCTGGATGCCGGCCGCAAGTACAGATTCCTTCTTTATGGCCTCCTGGGCAAGAAGCGCCATGGCCCCCTCACCGCTGACGGCACCACTGGTGAGGGGCACCCCCTGCCGGGCCCTGCTCTACTCCCCTCAAGCCAGGGCAGCAGGTGATCACTTGCGGTGATTGCCATTACCTTTATTTGGCCCCAGCTACTCTGGCTCAGATCCAGCTCCCCACATCCTTGCACAAGCCCCTAGCACCAGCCCTGCAGGACTCAACCATGCAAGGCCCTGTTTCTAGACCTCTTGATCCTGCCCTTCAAAGTCACCCAGACTTCCAGAAACAGCTCAGCCATTTCCCCTCCATGTCTCCATCTCAGAAGCCCGGAGTGGTATGGACGATACTGGAACAAAGCGTCCCCCAAAACCCCGTCTGGGGGAGGAGCTGCAGGTGACCAGCGTGACCCCAAACTCCGTGGGCCTCTCCTGGATAGTCCCTGAGGGTCAATTTGACTCTTTTGTGGTCCAGTACAAGGACAGGGACGGGCAGCCCCAGGTGGTGCCTATAGAGGGCAGCCTCAGGGAGGTCAGCGTCCCAGGCCTGGACCCTGCCCACAGATACAAGCTGCTGCTCTACGGGCTGCATGGCAACAAGCGTGTGGGTCCCCTCTCCGCCACCGCCATAACCGGTGAGTACAGCAGCAGCCGGAACACCTGTGCCTGCTTCCCGCCTGGCTCTCCTGGTCTAAATGGCCCATAAGATCTCTGAGCTTCCTGTTTATGTCATTTCCATTGATCCTTAAAGTTTCCTTGTGCCCATTTGCAGTCAATTCCCTCAACCTCAGTCTCTGGCGGCCACTGATCTGCGTTCTATCATTATAGTTTTGCCTTTTGAATCATTGTGTGTAACAGAATCAAACAATGCACAGTCTCATGTGTTTAGCTTCTTGCACTTGGCATCATGCTTTGGAAATTCATTCATGTACATCAATTAGTCCTTTTATTGCTGACTTTTTGCCTTCACACCCTCTCCTTCCCTCCTCCTGAGAGTCTTGGTACAGCGTCAGACCAGTCATCCCTCTCTGCTTTTGTCTCTGAAACAGCGCACAGGGAAGAAATTGAAGCCAAGACCACAACCCCCACCCCTTCAGTACCTGAGCCCCGCCTTGGAGAGCTGATGGTAGAGGAGGCCATGCCATACACTCTGCACCTCTCCTGGATGGTGACTGAGGGAGAATTTGACTCCTTTGAGGTCCAGTACACAGATCGAGATGGGCAACTCCAAGTGGTCAGTATAGGGGGCGACCAGAATGACATCATCCTCTCTGGTCTGGAGTCTGACCATAGATATCTGGTGACCTTGTTCGGTTTCTATGACGGGCAGCGTGTGGGTCCTGTCCAGATAGAGGCCCTAACAGGTGAGAACTCTGTGCACTCTTCCTCCTTCCAGATGGCTGGGAGAGTCCAAAGGACAACAAAGTCCCTACGGACACCCTGCCCCTCTCTCAAGTCCTCTCTCTCTATGTCTCTGCTCAGTCCCACAGGAGGAAGAGGATGAGCCTTCAGAACCTCCCACCACAATACCTGACCCTCCCATAATGCCAAGCCTTGGGGAGCTGACAGTGATAGATGCCTCCCCTGACTCCCTGAGTCTGTCCTGGACAGTCCCCGAGGGCCAGTTTGAACACTTCCTGGTCCAGTACAAGAATGGGGACAGGCAACCCAAGGCGGTGAGGGTGCCAGGGTACGAGGATGGGGTCACCATCTCGGGCCTGGAGCCAGACCACAAATACAAGATGAACCTGTACGGCTTCCATGGTGGTCAGCGTGTGGGCCCCGTGTCTGCCATTGGGGTGACGGGTGAGTGAACGGCAGGAGCCCCAGGATGGGACCTGTGGCAGGTCCACCTTCATGCCCTTTGGTGGCAAGGGTCTGTTCAGTAACTACAGACCTGCTTGTGGCTGAGACTCCCGCTGTGCCTTCCTCTATGGTTGATTGCTAGCTCCTCTTGGGCGGAGGGGCCATTGAGAGTTTTGCTGTACTGGTGGCTGTCCCAGGTTCCCCACTGCTGATCCCAGAGCTTTTCATGTTTGTTAGCTGTCAGCTGACAGGACCACCCAGTTCCAAGAATTGTCTCTGAACTGACCTCAGCTGTCCCAGTCGTGACCTTGGCTTTTCCCTCCTTCTTCCCAAGACCCAAGGATACCCTCCAGGGACCCTGGCTCACTCTCTCTGTGTCCCCTCTTCTCAGATGCAGAAGAGACACCAAGTCCTGCAGAACCCAGCACAGAGCCCCCAGAAACCCCCGAAGAGCCACTCCTGGGCGAGCTGACAGTGACAGGATCATCTCCAGACTCACTCAGCCTCTCCTGGACCGTCCCCCAGGGCCGCTTTGACTCCTTCACTGTCCAGTACAAGGACAGGAATGGGCGGCCCCAGGTGGTGCGTGTCGGGGGTGAGGAGAATGAGGTCACTGTGGGGGGCCTGGAGCCCGGGCACAAGTATAAGATGCACCTGTACGGCCTCCACAAGGGGCGGCGCGTGGGCCCTGTGTCCACTGTAGGCGTGACAGGTGAGTGTGGGCTGCAGACTCCTCTGGGTTGAGTGTCAAAAAATGGAGCCTCCTGTGTCTCCTCTACTGGAGACTCAGGTCCCAAGGTCTCAAACCTCTTACCCACACCCTTTCCACTAAGGCCTCAGAACAGGTGTGATCTGGGGGCAGAAAGAGCAAATTCCAGAGAAAAGGCCCATGTGGGAGAATCCCCAGGGGACTGAGGCCTCTCAGGAGGCAATTCCCTGACTGGTTGTGGCTCTCTGCTTTTCCTTAGAACTCTTGAGAGAATTCTTTTTGTGAGATTGGGACACATTTTTGAAATTGGTAATTCACTCAAATATTTGTTAAATAACATTCAAACATATAGACAAAGAAAAAGAATAGTATCATGACCTCTCATGTATCCATCATCCTGCCTCAACCAGGTGTCAACTCCTGGCCATTCTGGCTCATCTCTGTCCCACCCACTTCCTGCCCTCCCCCACTGGAATGTGTTTTTTTATTAATACCTTCATGGAGATAGAATTCATGTGCCATTTAAGTGTAGGACTTATTGATTTTAATGTATTTACCTACTTTTGCAACCATCACCACAATCTAATTTTATAACTTTTCTATCACCCCAAAAAGAAATCTTGGGTCCAGACCCATCCTTATCCTAGTCCTAGTCCACAACAAATCTACTTTTCTATAGATTTGCCTTTTCTGGACATTTCATATAAATAGAATCACAAAATATGTGCTCTTTTGTGTCTGGCTTCCTTCACTGAGTACAATGCTTTTGAGGTTTGTTGATGTTGTAGTATGTAGCAATACCTCATTGCTTTTTATTGCCAAGCAGTATTGCATTGTATAAATATACCACTACAGTATCTTAAAAATAATCTCAGACACTCTATACATTCATCAATAAATGTTTAAATGTATGTCCCTTTACAAAAAGATTATTATTGTTTTAGTCCACGGTACAATTATCATACCTTTAAAAAATGAACAATCTTTCCTTGATGTCATCAAGTATCCGGGTAGTGCTACAGTCTCCTAATTGTCTCTTAACTGTTGTTTTCCAATTTGATGTTGGAATCACGTCCATATAAGGAGGACACATTGCAATTGAGGACTGGAATTTTATTTATTTATTTATTTATTTATTTAATTTCCTTTTTTTTGAGTTGGAGTCTCTCTCTGTTGCCCAGGCTGGAGTGCCGTGGCACGCTCACAGTCACCCCAGCATCGACCTGCTGGGCTTCAGCAATCCTTCTGCCTCAGCCTTCCAAGTAACTGGAACTACAGACACGCGCTACCACACCCAGCTAATTTTTTTTATTTATTGTTGAGATGAGGTCTCGCCAAGTTGCCCAAGCTGGTGTCGAACCCACAGGTTCAGGTAATCCACTTGCCTCAGCCTCCCAAAGTGCTGGGATTACAGGTTTGAGCCACTGCACCCGGCCTTAGAATTTTAAATAGGGTAGTCAGGGAAGGTCCCCCAAAACAGGTGATGTTTGAACAAAGACTTAAAGGAAGTATAGACAAAAGGCATGCTGATATCTGAGGAAAGAACATTTAGAGGGAATAGTCTATGCAATGGCCCCAAGGTAGGAGGCTACCTGGCATGTGTGAGGAGGCCACAACAGAACTTTGATGATCATAATCAGAAATGGGTCTTAAGTGTGGTGACTCACACCTATAATCCTTGGGAGGTGGAAGTGGGAGGATTGCTTGAGTCCAGGACTTTGAGACCAGCCTGGGCAACATAGTGAGACCTTGTCTCTACAAAAAAATTAGCCAAGTGTGGTGGCACGTGCCTATAGTCCCAGCTACTCAGCAGGCTGAGGCAGAAGAGTCACCTAATTCAGAAGGTCGAGGCTGCGGTAAGCAATGATCATACCACTGCACTCCAGCCTGAGTAATAGAGTGAGACCCTGTCTTGAAAAGAAAAAGAAAAAAAGAAAGAAACAGGTCTTAAGTTTGACCCAGAGCAGGCCCAGCTTCTGATCTGTGTCCAAGAAAACTGGAGATGCAACAACTCCTTTCAGCAACAGGAAAGATTCTGTTTGTATCTTTTCCCAGCCCCCAAAGAAAAGCCCCCTGATGCCCCTCTTCTGAAGCCACGCCTTGGGGAGCTGACCGTGACAGATGCCACCCCTGACTCCCTGAGCCTGTCCTGGACGGTCCCTGAGGGCCAGTTTGACCACTTCCTGGTCCAGTACAAGAATGGGGATGGGCAGCCCAAGGCGGTGCGGGTTTTGGGGCACGAGGATGGGGTCACCATCTCGGGCCTGGAGCCAGACCACAAGTACAAGATGAACCTGTATGGCTTCCATGGTGACCAGCGCATGGGCCCTGTCTCTGCTGTCGGTTTAACTGGTGAGTGAGCAGTAGGGTACTGGGCCCTGCCCAGAGCTGGACTCAATTTCTCTTTTATTGCCTGTTTTCTGGTATCTTTATTCCTCTTCCCCTGAGACTGAGCCTGCCAAGCTCCTGGGAATGGTTCTGTTGCTGTCTTTACTCCAAGCCTTTGGCGTTACCCCTGGCCTCTTACCATTTACACATGGGCCTTTTGGGTCCTTGAGGAGGCAGGGGACCAGGGAACTATCACAGGCTCAGGCACACCTGGGGTTGACCATAGCCTCAGCCTATTTGAGCTGTGTGATCTTGAAAGAATCATACAACTTCTCTGTGCCTCTCCCCAACTGTAAAGAGGGGATAACCACACCCATCTTGAAGGGTGGGTGTGAGTGTGAATGACTCACAATAAAATGTATCTACAGGCTTTCCCTTCTGAGGAAGGTAGTTAGTTCCTGAAAACTCCTGAGAGCAAATTCTCATAATTATCATCTCTTTCGGTGGGAAAAATTGTATGTGTTCCCCAAGCCCCCACAATGAGACCCATTTATGCTAAAGCAACACCGAATCCTGTTAACATGGGTACTATTACTCTAACAGTTAATTCTAGTCATGTGCACTTCACAAGGTGTATTTTTCTTCACTAGTTACTCAATAACAAGGCTCTTGGTTGCTTTGTTAGCCTCTTTTATAGCTGTTACCCCCTAGATGTTTCAGACCCAAGTCCCAAACAGAATAGACAAATCAATGCTGTGATTTTGTAATTCAACTGTAAAGACATAATAAAGCCCAATAAAGAACAGAAAAGATTAAAGAAATCAATACAAACAAAGCATTGATTTCACACAGGCCAAAAGAGGGGGTGTAACTGGAGGCGTGATCTCTGCCATCAGTCAGCAAAGCTACTGCAAAGTCCCAGGTCCGCCCAGCTGCAAAGATGCCCTCATGTGGCCTCAGCTCTCTATCCTCAGCTGTGAAATCTAAACTGATTTCTAAAAAATGCTCAGAATGAGGTGGAATTTCCAAGCCCAAGTAGATGTACCTCTTGATGCTATGTGTTTGTTATGTTTGGTGCTTTGTTGTTGTTTTGAGCTGGAGTCTCACTCTGTTGCCCAGGTTGGAGTGCAGTGGCACAATCAGTCTTTCTACCTGTCAGTGCTTCCACCTTAGTCTTCTGAGTAGCTGGGACACAGGTGCACACCACCATGCCCAGCTAAATTTCTTATTTTATTGTAGAGTTGAAATTTTGCCATGTTGCTCAGCCTGCTCTCAAACTCCTGGCTCAGAGAATCCTTTCACCTCAGCCTCCCAAAGTGCTGGGATTATAGGGATGAGCCACTGAACCTGGCCTGATGTTTTTATAAAGTATGAGTTCTGTCCTATTAAACAGATTCCATCAGCAGCTCCTAAGGGTTCAGTACACGCACAGGTTGAACATCATGGGGAACCCTACTCTATATTGCCACAAATGTGCTCTGTCCCCTGTTAACTGAACATTCAAGGCAGAGAAATGGTATCCGAACCTTGGGGCCCTGGCTTCCAGGCTGGGCCCTCATGTGTTTAACAGAAATCCCAGAATCCCCTGGCTAGAAGGATCCCCAGAGCACATAACCCATTCTCTCTATCTTCTGATGCAACCCCAGGAAAGGATGAAGAAATGAGCCCAGTCCCAACAGAACCTCCCACCACGACCACCGAGCTGACCATCAAACCAACCCTGGGGGAGTTGATCGTGACAGATGCTACCCCTGACTCCCTGAGCCTGTCCTGGACAGTCCCTGAGGGTCAGTTTGACCACTTCCTGGTCCAATACAAGAATGGGGACAGGCAGCCCAAGGTGGTGAGGGTGCCGGGGCAAGAGGACAGTGTCACCATCTCGGGCCTGGAGCCAGACCACAAGTACAAGATGAACCTGTACGGCTTCCATAATGGCCAGCGTGTAGGCCCTGTGTCTGCCATCGGGGTGACAGGTGAGTGGATGGTGGGAGTCCCAGGATGGGATCTGTGGGAAGTTCACCCTTATGCCCTTTGATGACTGCTAGCAGGAGTGGTGGCAGGGGTCTGGTCAGTAACCACAGATTTGCTTGTGGCTGAGGTTGCAGTTCCCCCTTTGCCTACCTCTCTGGTTGACCGCTGGCTCCTCTGGTCAGAGAGGAGCCACTGGGAGCTTTGCTATGTTGATGGCTGTTCCAATTTACCCACCACTGACCCCAGAGCTTGTCATGTTCGTTAGCTGTCAGCTGACAGGACCACCCAGTCCTAAGGAATGTCTTCTCTGAACTGACCTCAGATTCCCTAGTGATGGCGTTGGCTTTTCCCTCCTTCTTCCTAAGACCTGAGGACATCCCCCATGGACCCTGCCTCACCCTCTTTGTGTCCCCTCTTCTCAGATGCAGAGGAAGAGACCCCCAGTCCCTCAGAACCCAGCACGGAGGCCCCAGAGCCCTCTGAGGAGCCACTCCTGGGGGAGCTGATGGTGACAGGATCATCCCCAGACTCGCTGAGCCTCTTCTGGACGGTCCCCCAGGGCCACTTTGACTCCTTTACCATCCAGTACAAGGACAGGGATGGGCGGCCCCAGATGGTGCGTGTCGGGGGTGAGGAGAATGAGGTCACCGTGGGGGGCCTGGAGCCCGGGCGCAAGTACAAGATGCACCTGTATGGCCTCCACCAGGGGCAGCGCATGGGCCCTGTGTCCACCGTGGGTGTGACAGGTAAGTGAGTGTGAGGTGGGCAGGGTCAAGGAGATGTCCTCAGCGGATAACTACCTTTCTCTCATGGGCACCTTGTTGATGTTCTGCTCTTTTATCAGCTCCTGTGGGGCTAGGTCTTGGCTCCCCTTTCATGCTCTCTCCACAGCTCTTGGCTATGGCTCGAGCCTAGTGGTCTGGCCTTTGCCTTGTTGTAGGCTCATGTCCACTCATAGTCAGCCATCGGCCAAATCCAAGGGTGACATATGTAAGCACACACCAAGCCTGATTTACCAGCATTTTCCTTTCTTCCTATCTTTTTTTTTTTTTTTGAGTTGGAGTCTCACTCTGTCGCCCGGACTGGAGTGCAGTGGCCGCTCCCGACCACCGCAGCCTCGACCTGCTGGGCTCTGGCGATCCTTCCGCCTTAGCCTTCCAAGTAGCTGGAACTACAGGCGCACGCTACCACACCCGGCTAATTTTTTGATTTATTGTAGAGATGAGGTCTCGCCAAGTTGCCTAGGTGGGTCTCGAACCCGTGGGCTCAGGCAATCCACTCACCTCAGCTTCCCAATGCACGGGATTACAGGCTGAGCCACCGAGCCTGGCTCTTTCTTCCTATCTTATTCACAGCATTCTTTGTTATAACCACATATACACACACAAAAGAAACAACCCAACATCAAACCACATTGGAATAACTAAATAATTTAAGCAACATCTATAAAATGAGCCATTATGCCACCATTGAAATGTTTTAACATAAGACCATTATTTTGTAATGTTATATTGAAAAAAGAGAGCCCCAAATTTTTGTTAGGATGCTAATCACAACCATTTGAAAACAACAGGCATGGCAGGAAGACTGGAAAGAAACACATCCCACGGGATACATGGTTTGTTTGGTAGAATAGAATGTTCCAGCACTTTTTTTTCTGTTTTATTCTGTTCTACATAGTCCAAATTTTCTCAAATAGCAAATATTTCTTTTATAATCAGGGAAAAAGAGAAAATATATAATTTCTTCTTTTTTATGTTCCATCTGTCTTCTCTCCTGTCATTCTTGTAGCCAATTTTATTTTTAATTATGACAAAGTCAAAATCTCTAGTCCATAAGAAATTGAGGGGGGAAATCACAAGGTAAATTAAATTCCAAAAATGCAGCCAGGTTGCCTTTTCTAAGTCATTCTCAGTCAGGTTCTTATGCCTGGTTTCGCCTGTTTCTTGAAAGTTCCTAGGACAGGGAAGAATTGGCCCCTCTGAGAGCTGCCCTCTTACAGGCAGGTTGCTGCCTCTGCGACACCAAGGGAGCGGGTTGTGAGGTGTGCTCACCTTCTGAAGACCATAAAGACAGGGGAACTGCTCTCAGTCTCCCCAACTCCTGGGAGACAAACCTCGCTTCTATATGTGTGTTCAGAGGAGAGTCTGTGTTTTGGGGAAGAGGGAGAATAGGGAATCATTGGAAATGAACACTTTAAAAAGTCACACCCTGAGGATAAGCTGTTAATTCTTGTCCACTGAAGTTTAGGTTTGCTTTCCTTACCCCTTGTCACAGCAAATCACAGCCTGCACAGGAGGGAGAAGTTAGGATGATAGACCCACATCCCTGCCCTCCCTGTACCACTGGCATTGCCCTCTGCCCCTCCCCTCCCTTAATTTTTTTTTAGTTCACATTTTTCTAGTGGAAATAATATAGCAGCATTATGGAAAGCATAAAAAAAAGAAAAAACCCTCATAATCCCACCTTGTGATCCAGTAACTGCCATTAATAACAACGTGCACAGCACATATTTCCTTTCTTCATTTTGCATGCAGCTCATTTTTTTTTTTTTTTTTGAGTCGGCATCTTATTCTGTTGCTCAGGCTGGAATGCAGTGGCATGTTCACGGCCACTGCAGCCTTGACCTGCTGGGCTCAGGTGATCCTTCCACTTCAGCCTTCAAAGTAGCTGGAACTACAGGCATGCATCACCACACCCAGCTAATTTTTTTATTTATTGTAGAGATGAGTTCTCGTCAGGTTGCCCAGGCTGGTCTCGAACCTGTAGGCTCAGGCAATCCTCTTGCCTCCGCCTCCCAAAGTGCTAAGATTACAGGCATGAACCACTGCGCCTGGCTGCAGTTAATGTTTTAAAGATGTAAGGGCTCAAGCAATCCTCTCACCTCGGCCTCCCGAGTAGAAAAAAAATAAATAAATAAAAAATAAAGATGTAGTCCGAGTGTTCATGTAACTCTTTGTTCTTTCTTTTTTGTTCACAGATTGCACTGTAATCATTCACCTTGTGGCTATACAACTAGCTTTAATCATCATTTTAATGGTTATCTGATACTTTACGGTGAAAGCACTATAACAAAATTAATCATCTTTCATGGGTCATTTAGGTTCCTGACACTTTTTGCTGTCATGGATAATCCCATAATGAATTCTTCCATGCTATAACTTTTTCCTACTTTCAATAATTTTCTTAGGATAGATGCCCAGAACTGGGATTATTGGGTCAAAGGAAATGAGCATTATTTTGGCTCCTGACACACATATCCCCATTGGCTTCTGAAAGTTTATAACAGTGCAGTCCTGCCAGCACTGCATGATGAGGGTTGGGGGCTCCCTCACCAGCTCTTATTCCAAGAATGACGGAATGGCAAATACAAAGGCTACATGAGCCTTTGAACCTAACCTCAAAGAGCATGTTTGATGAATGAACTTAGTTGACATCACCACCTAAGCAAGAAGCCCTTACAGTCTGTATTGCCCTATTTCTTTCTCAGCTGCACAAGAGGATGTGGATGAGACCCCCAGCCCCACAGAGCCCAGCACAGAGTCACCAGAACATCCTGAGGAACCGCTCCTGGGGGAGCTGACAATGACAGGATCCTCCCAAGACTCCCTGAGCCTCTCCTGGACCGTCCCCCAGGGCCACTTTGACTCCTTCACCATCCAGTACAAGGACAGGGATGGGAAGCCCCAGGTGGTGCGTGTCAGTGGCAAGGAGAATGAAGTCACTGTGGGGGGCCTGGAGCCTGGGCACAAGTACAAGATGCACCTATATGGCCTTCATGAGGGGCAGCGCGTGGGCCCTGTATCCACTGTGGGTGTGACAGGTGAGTGAGTTGTGGGGTGGGCAGGATGGGGAAGAAGGCTTAAGAAGATGTTCCCTTTTCTACTATATTCTTATGTATGTTTCTGTTCTAATGGGGCCCAAAGTCATGGAGATGGAGGCTGTGAACGAGCAAATAAAGCAAAGGAGGATGAGCATGTGACATGGAAGCCCAAGGGTCAGGCCAGGACCAGTCAGGGATGCCTCACCCTTCCCACTGGTGCCCAGGAGACAGCAGAGACCTGACATCAGGCAGGTCTTAGCTTGTGGCAGCTTTAGAGAGAAGATGAAGGGTGTGTCAGATCATGTCACAACTGGTGCAAAGACCCAGAAGCTAGAAAGAGCATGGGTCACGAGAGGAACTGACAGGACTGAGCATGATGTCTTTGGAGTTGCCCAGAGGGTCTTACACTGTGGGAGGAGATGGAGCAGCTCACAAAGGTCTCTAGGGGTGAGGAGGTGGTTGCCCAAATCTAAATTGAGATGGGCTCCTGCAGCTGTACTTGTAGGAATCTCATCCTGGCTGTCATGTGGAGCATGGAGGGCAGGAGACAGAGATGAAGGAGGAGGGGCCTGTCCAGTAGGGAGGTGATGACCCCGGTGAGAGGTGACAGTGGCCCAAACCAGGACCCTGGGCTGCAGGTGGGTGGGGGGGAGGCATTCAGAGAACTGGGAAGAAATTGGGGCACACTCGGGATCTGACAGCTGGTAAGAGCCAGGTGCAGGGACATGCCAAGGTCCTGCCTGAGGAGGGTGTGCTGAGCTTGTTCTGGAGTGAAGACAGGAGCCCAGTGAACAGAGATGCCTAGGACACAGAGGCCATGTGAGCCTTGTTCAGAAGAGAGGCAGTGCTGAAGGCATAGGGACAAGTCGCCAGGGTGTAAGAGGTAGGGGTGGGTGGGGTAAGGTGGGGGCATCAGAGTGAGAGGATGGGACAGGCCCTTGGGAGGGGATTGGAGAGGAGATGTCCTAGAATCACTGTGGGCAGCCTCGTCCTGCTCTTGGGCACTTGATTTTTGGTTTTTGTTTTTATTTTGTTTTCTTGAGGTAAGGTCTCACTCTGTCATCCAGGCTGGAGTGCTGTAGCATGCTCATGGCTACCTCAGCCTTTACCTGCTAGGTTCAAGTGATCCTTCCTCCTCAGCCTTCCAAGTAGCTGGGACTATAGGTGCACACCACCTTGCCTGGCTAATTTTTAAAAAAATTTATTGTGGAGATGAGGTTTTGCCAAGTTGCCCAGACTAGTCTCACACCCCTGGGCTCAGGCAGTCCTCTTGGTCTACCTCCCAAAGTGCTGGCATTAACCACCATGTTGACCTACTTTATGTTGTGTGACACACCCTTTCTGGGCTGAACTGAGAACTGAGGACCTCACTGTCCCTAAACGTGTCTGTCCAGCTACAAAGGATGAAGCCATGACTACCCAAGCAGCACCAACCATGACACCTGAGCCTCCCATCAAGCCAACCCTGGGGGAGCTGACTGTGACAGATTCCAACCCTGAATCCCTGAGCCTGTCCTGGACAGTCCCTGAGGGCCAATTTGACCACTTCCTGGTCCAGTACAAGAACGGAGATGGGCAGCCCAAGGCAGTGCGGGTGCCTGGGCATGAGGACAGGGTCACCATCTCAGGCCTGGAGCCAGACCACAAGTACAAGATGAACCTGTACGGCTTCCATGGTGGTCAGCGTGTGGGCCCTGTGTCTGCCATCGGGGTGACGGGTGAGTGCACAGCAGGAGCCCCAGGATAGGATTTGTGGCTGCCCCACCCTCATGCCTTTGGTGACAACTAGTGGGAGTGAGTCTGGTCAGTAACCACAGACCTGCTTGTGGCTGAGGCTCCCTCTGTGCCTTCCTCTGTGGTTGACCACTGGCTCCTCTGGGCAGAGAGAGGCCATCAGGAGGTTTTCCGTGCGGGTGGCGGTTCAGGTTCCCACCACTGACCCCAGAGCTTGCATTGCTCGCTAGCTGTCAGCTGACAGGACCACCCAGTCCCAAGGATTGTCTTCTCTGAACTGACCTCAGGTCACCCAGTCACGGCCTTGGCGCCTCCATCCTTCTCCCCAAGACCCAAGGACATCCCCCAGGGACCCTGCCTCACTCTCTCTGTGTCCCCTCTTCTCAGCTGCAGAGGAAGAGACCCCCAGCCCCACAGAACCCAGCACGGAGGCCCCGGAGCCCCCTGAGGAGCCACTCCTGGGGGAGCTGACGGTGACAGGATCATCCCCAGACTCGCTGAGCCTCTCCTGGACCGTCCCCCAGGGCCACTTTGACTCCTTCACCATCCAGTACAAGGACAGGGACGGGCGGCCCCAGATAGTTCGTGTCGGGGGCGAGGAGAATGAGGTCACCGTGGAGGGCCTGGAGCCTGGGCGCAGGTACAAGATGCATCTGTATGGCCTCCACCAGGGGCAGCGCGTGGGTCCTGTGTCCACTGTGGGAGTGACAGGTGAGTGAGTGTTGGGTGAGTTAGGGCTTGGAAGATGTTTCTCTCTATACACTTTGGTTTCATGAAAACATAAATATTCTCACCAGCTGTGCTATTTTTGCATGTCCAAATGTCTGGGGATCCTGTTAAAAGGAAGATTGGGATTCAGCAGGGTTGAGCTGGGGCCAGAGATTCTGCTTTTCTAGCAAGATCCTCCTGATGCCAACCCATGGAACTGATCACACTTTTAGTAGCAAAGCTCCTCACAGTGAAGGAATTGGACCCTCTTATAAAATTGTGAAGAGAATCTTGCTTGCATCCCTGATTTCTCACAGAGTGTTAATCTCTGTGGAGTTGACTGGGGCCCATGAAGTAAGATGGAAGGTGGTTAGGGTGAAGTGTCTTAACTGACCACCCCATAATCCTATTGTTGGAATATTAGCAGACTCTTTACTCCAGTGGTCAAATTATTTATTCAACAAGGCATCCCATACCCTCATCCAGGCACCGTGATTTTAGGGTATCAATGTCCTCCAACCAAAGAGCATCAGAAACTCACCTGTAATTGATCAGATGGGATTAAGCTCTGTGCAGTGCAGGAAGGCTGTGGGGTAAATCAGGGGTTTAGAAAAGAGTTTAGGATTCAGGCTTGCATTTGGGGTTTAGAAAAGAGTTTAGGATTCAGGCTTGCATTTGGTGATTTGAGGGAGGGTTTAAGAAAGTGGGGTTTTGCTCTGTATTAGATGCTGTCACAAAGAAGGAGTAATTCTATGACTGGGAGTCTTACTGAGTGTATCTATGGGGAGGTCAGCTAGACCAAGGCCAAGGTAATTGGGAAAGAAGAAGCCATCACTCAGATTAGCTGGATGGATAATATTTTGTCATTTTGGTGTTTTGGAAAATGTTTGAGTTTGTCTATGTTGAGACTTGATTATAGACAGGCCTTGTTTTGTCTTGATCCATCATGGTGACAGATGGCCTAGTCTGATGTTGATGTTCCATAAAGTTGTGTGCTCCACAGTACCACACCAAGACTGAGCTGTGCAGGGCCAGCTCCAAGCAACCATAGCCAGGAGGAGAGGAGGGGGTAGCTCATGGATATCAGGGCTGCTTTTCACTTTCTCAGGGGGAAGCTGGAAAGTGACCCACACAAATTCATATTTTCAAGGGGCTCACAGTTGTGGGCACAGGCATAAAAACCGAGAAGTACAGCAAAAGAGGATGAGTATGTAAAGCCTGGAGCAGGACAGGATTGGGAAGGGACACCTAAGCCACCCTGCCCACCGGTGCCCAGTGGACAGGAGAGACCTGAGGTCCGGCAGGCCTTATCTTGTGGCAGCTTTAGAGAAAGACAAAGGGAGTGTCAGACCATGTCAGAGCTAGAAAAAGCATGGCCCATGAGAGGAAATTAGAGGACTGAGTGTGATGTCCTTGGAGGTACACAGAGGGTCTTGCAGTGCGGGAGGAGGTGGGGCAGCTCATGAAGCCTGGGGTCTCCGGGGATGAGGAGGTGGCCACACAAGTCTGTGCTGAGGATGGTTTCCAGCAACTGTGCTTGTAGGAAGCTCATCCTGGCTGCCATGTGGAGTGTGGAGGGCAGGAGACAGGGATGGAGGAAGTGGGGACTGTCCAGTAGGGAGATGGTGACCCCAATGAGAGATGAGAGTGGCTCAAACCAGGATCATGGTGCTGGAGGTGGGGGAGGGGAACCATCCAGGGAACTCAGGGTAGAGAGTGGGGAACATTCTGGGGATCTGACAGCTAATGAGGGCCCAGTGAAGAAAAACACCCCAAGTCCTGGCTGGGGCGGGTGTGCTGAACTTGTTCTGGAGTGAAGACAGGAGCCCAGTGAACAGAAATGCCAATGAGACCCCAGTGCAGGGAGGCCCAGGACACAGAGGCTGTGTGGGCCTCACTCAGAAGAGAGGTGGTACTGGAGGAACACAGACAAGTCACCTGGGTTTGGTGGGGTGTGGGGGTCAGGGTGAGGAGATAGGACAGGCCCCAGGGAGAGGATTGGAGAGGCTATGTGCTAGGGCCTATGTGGGCGGCATCATCCTGCTCTTGGGCACTTTATGTTTTATGACATGCTCTTTCTATGCTGAACTGAGGACTGAAGACCTCACTGTCCACTAACATGTCTGTTCAGCTCCAGAAGATGGAGTTATAACCACCCAAGTGGCACCCACCATGACCCCCAAGCCTCCCATCAAGCCACGCCTGGGGGAGCTGACCGTGACAGATACTACCCCCGACTCCCTGAGCCTGTCCTGGGCAGTCCCCGAGGGCCAGTTTGACCAATTCCTGCTCCAGTACAAGAACGGGGCCGGGCAGCCCAAGGTGGTGCGGGTGCCAGGGTATGAGGACAGTGTCACCATCTCAGGCCTGGAGCCAGATCACAAGTACAAGATGAGCCTGTACGGCTTCCACGGTGGCCAGCGCGTGGGCCCCGTGTCTGCCATCGGGATGACAGGTGAGTGCGCGGTGGGAGCCACAGGTTGGGACCCAGCAGGAAAGTCACCCTCTCTCTGGTGATGGGTGAGTGGATCCATGAAGCCCATCTGCTCTAGGCTGAGGCATGGTATTCTCTGTGCCTTTTCCCTGGTCTTCCTGAGGACTGACAGGTCCTCCTGGACAGAAAAGGACCCATTTACCTCTGCTGGTGGCTGTTGCACGTTCCCCACTGCTGGCCCCAGAGCTTGTCATGCTCACTAGCTATCAGCTGACAGGACCACCCAGCCCCAAGGATCGTCTTCTCTGAACTGACCTCGGATCCCTCAGTCGTGGCGTTGGTTTCTCCTTCTACCCAAGGACATCCCCCAGGAACCCTGCCTCACTCTCTCTGTGTCCTCTCTTTCAGCTGCAGAGGAAGAAGCCCCCAGCCCCACAGAAGCCAGCATGGAGGCCCCAGCGCCCCCCGAGGAGCCACTCCTGGGAGAGCTGACAGTGACAGGATCGTCTCCAGACTCGCTGAGCCTCTTCTGGACCGTCCCCCAGGGCCACTTTGACTCTTTCACCATCCAATACAAGGACAAGGACGGGCGGCCCCAGGTGGTGCGTGTCGGGGGTGAGGAGAATGAGGTCACCGTGGGGGGCCTGGAGCCCGGGCGCAAGTACAAGATGCACCTGTATGGCCTCCACGAGGGGCAGCGCATGGGCCCTGTGTCCACCGTGGGCATGACAGGTAAGTGAGTGTGAGGTGGGCAGTGTGGGGAAGATGGCCTTAGAAGATTTCTGTTTTTTCCCAGCTTCGTGAAAACATAAATATTCTCAGCAACACTTATTTTGTTTGTCCAAATACCTGGAGATTTTTGTTAAAAGGCAGATTCAAATTCAGCAGAGTTGACTGGGGCCAGGCGTCTTTCTAATAAGATTCTTCTTTATATGGATGTTACTAATTGGCATCTTGGGTTTTTCATTGTGGTAACGTATATATAACAAAATTTATCATCTTAAGCTACTTTTTTCTTTCTTTTTTTGAGTCAGAGTCTCAGTCTGTCGTCCAGACTGGAGTGCAGCATCACCTTCATGGCTACCACAGTTTGGACCTTCTGGGCTCAGGTGGTCCTCCCACCTCAGCCTCCCAAGTAGCTGAGACTACAGGCCTGCACCACCACACCCAGTTAATTTTTGTATTTTTGGTAGAGACGAGGTCTTGCCACATTGCCCAGGCTGGTCTACAACTCTTGGGCTCCTGGGCTCAAGGCAATCTTCTCACCTCACCTCCCAAGGTTCTGGGATGGCTGACATCTGTAATCCCAGCACTTTGGGAGGCTGAGGTGAGAGGATTGCCTTAACTCATTCACAATCACTGATGTGAAATCACATCATTCCAAATTATGTTCCTCGTTGCCACTGATGCAAATTTACATCTTTGCAAATTCTGTTTCTGAATAATATATATTTGGTTAGAATCTGAATAAGTATACAAAGTATGAAATGCTAGTCAGAGTGGCATTTAACACAAATACTGGATATGTCTGCAACTTTCAGCTATATTGTGAAAAAGATGACAATTTAGAAAAGACCATTTCACTTGTACTTAACAAGAGAAGTTTGCAGCAATGAACTTCAGATTTTTTAAAAATTTTCACTCACAATTAGTATTAGGAAAGTGAAAAATTTGCCGGTCACGAATGTGTTCATAAGTACATTCACATGTTGTGCAGCCCTCACTGGTATCCATCTCAGAACTCTTCTTCCAAGACTGAAACTCTGTACCCATTAAACACTAACTCTCCTTTCTCTCCTCACCCAACCCCTGGCGAACACCATTCCACTCTCTACTCTCTGTCTCTGTGAATCTGATCCTCCTGGGTACCTCACATAAGTGGCATCATGAAGTATTTGTCTTTTCTAACCAGCTAATTTTACCAAGCACAACATCTTTAAGATTCATGAATGTTGCAGCATCTGTCAGAAGTTCTGTTCTTTTACGGCTGAATGATATTTTATTTGATATGTATACCACGCTTTGCTCATTCATCCATCCATTGATGGACACTTGGATTGTTCCACCTTTTGGCTATTGTGAATAATGCTGTTATGAATAGCCATGTACAAATAGCAAAACACATTTTGTAGTAAAGTTCCTCCCAACAACAGATCTGGAACCTTTTAGAATTTGTTGAAGTGAATTTTACATGCATCCATGAATCATCACAGAAGTTAGGGTTCTTATCCTAATGTTCTTATCCTAGTGATATAAATTTCTGTGCTAATGGGGCTCACAATCAAGGAGATACAGGCTGTGAACCAGCAAATAAAGCAAAGGGGGATGAGCCTGTGAAGTCCAGGGTTCAGGCCAGAACTGGGCAGGGATATCTCACTCTGCTCATGGGTGCTCAGGGGACAGCAGGGACCTGAGGTCTGGCAGGCCTTAGCTTGTGACAGCTATAGAGAGAAGACAAAGAGTATGTCAGGTCATGTCACAGCTGGTGCAAAGACCAGGAGGTCAGAAAGAACATGGGGCACGAGAGGAACTGAGAGGACTGAGTGTGAGTCCTTAGAGGTATCCAGATGGTGTTGCAGTGTGGGAGGAGATGGGGCAGCTCACAAAACCTAGGGTCTCCAGGGGTGAGGAGGTTGTCACACAGGTGTGTGCTGAGATGGGTTCCTGCAATACTGGGTGTCATGTGGAGCGTGGAAGGTAAGAGACAGGGATGGAGGAGGCAGGGCCTGTCCAGTAGGGAGGTAGTGATGCCAGAGAGAGGTGACAATGGCCCAAACCAGGATCCTGAGGCTGAAGGTGGGAAAGGGGAGGCATCCAGGGAACTCAGGGAAGAATGGGGCACACTCTGAGACTCTGGCAACTGAAAAGGGTAGTTTGCAGGAACACGCACCAGATTCTGCCTGGAGAGGGTGTACTGACCTTGTTCTGGAGTAAAGACAGGAGCCCAGTGAACCGAAACCCTAATGAGTCCCCAGTGCAGGGAGGCTGCATGGGCCTTGCTCAGAATACAAGCAGTTCTGGAGAGAGAGGGAAAGTTGCCTGGATGTTGGTGGGGGGGGTTTGGAGTGAGGTGTGGGGATCAGGGTGAGGGGATGGGATAGGCCCCAGGGAGGGGATTGGAGGGGAGATGTGCTAGAAACACTGTGGGTGGCATCATCCTGCTCATGGGCACTTTGTATTTTGTGACACACCCTTTCTTTACTGAACTGAGGACTGAAGACCTCAATGTTCCCAAACTGTCTGTCCAGCTCCAGAGGATGAAGCTACGACTACCCAAGCAGCGCCCACCATGACCCCTGAGCCTCCCATCAAGCCACGCCTGGGGGAGCTGACTGTGACAGATGCTACTCCCGACTCCCTGAGCCTGTCCTGGACAGTCCCCGAGGGCCAATTTGACCACTTCTTGGTCCAGTACAAGAACGGGGATGGGCAGCTCAAGGCAGTGCGGGTGCCAGGGCACCAGGATGGTGTCACCGTCTCAGGCCTGGAGCCAGATCACAAGTACAAGATGAACCTGTATGGTTTCCACGGTGGCCAGCGTGTGGGCCCTGTGTCTGCCATCGGGATGACAGGTGAGTGCATGGTGGGAGCCACAGGGTTGGACCCAGCAGGAAGGTCACCCTCTCTCTGGTGATGGGTGAGTGGACCCATGAAGCCCATCTGCTCTAGGCTGAGGCATGGTATTCTCTGTGCCTTTTCCCTGGTCTTCCTGAGGACTGACAGGTCCTCCTGGACAGAAAAGGACCCATTTACCTCTGCTGGTGGCTGTTGCACGTTCCCCACTGCTGGCCCCAGAGCTTGTCATGCTCACTAGCTGTCAGCTGACAGGACCACCCAGCCCCAAGGATCGTCTTCTCTGAACTGACTTCAGTTCACCCAGTCGTGGCCTTGGCATCTCCCTCCTTCTCCCCAAGACCCAAGGACATCCCCAGGGTCCCTGCCTCACCCTCTCTGTGTTCACTCTTTCAGCTGCAGAGGAAGAGACTCCCAGTCCCACAGAACCCAGCACAGAGGCCCCAGAGACCCCCGAGGAACCGCTCCTGGGGGAGCTGACAGTGACAGGATCGTCCCCAGACTCGCTGAGCCTCTCCTGGACCATCGCCCAGGGCCACTTTGAGTCCTTCACCATCCAGTACAAGGACAGGGACGGGCGGCCTCAGGCAGTGCGTGTCAGGGGCGAGGAGAATGAGGTCACCGTGGGGGGTCTGGAGCCCGGGCGGAAGTACAAGATGCACCTGTATGGCTTCTATGAGGGGCGGCGCGTGGGTCCTGTGTCCACTGTAGGCATGACAGGTGAGTGAGTGTGAGATGAGCAGTGTGGGGAAGATGGCCTTAGATGATTTCTTTTTTCCTCCAACTTCATGAAAACATAAATATTCTCAATAGCATTTCTTCTTCGTGTTCAAATGCCTGTAGATTTTTGTTAAGAGGCGGGTTCAAATTCAACAGAGTTGGCTAGGGCCATGGATTGTGTATTTCTAACAAGATTCTTCTTGATATTGATGTTGCTGATGGATACTTAGGATTTTCATTGTGGTGACATCTATATAGCATAAAATTTATGAAAAGTATGTCAGGTCATGTCGCAGCTGGTGCAAAGACCAGGAGGTTAGAAAGAGCATGGGGCATGAGAGGACTGAGTGTGAGTCCTTGGAGGTGCCCAGACAGTGTTGCAATGTGGGAGGAGGTCACGGGGCCTGAGGTCTACAGGGATGAGGAGGTGGTTGCCCAAGTCTGAACTGAGATGGGCTCCTGCAGCTGTGCTTGTAGGAAGCTCATCCTGGCTGCCATGTGGAGCGTGAAGGGCAGGAGACAGGGATGGAGGAGGCAGGGTCTGTCCAGTAGGGAGGTCGTAACCCGGGTGAGAGGACAGTGGCCCAAAGCAGGATCCTGGGCTGCAGGTGAGGGAGGGGAGGCATCCAGGTAACTCAGAGGGGAGAGTGGGGCACACTCTAGGGATCTCACAGCTGGTGAGGGCCCAGTGCAGCAACACGCCCCAGGTCCTGCGTAGGGAGGGTGCGCTGAACTTGTTCTGGGGTGAAGACCGGAGCTCAGAGGTGCCCAGGGCACAGAGGCAGCATGAGCCTTACTCAGAAGAGAGTCAATGCTGAAGGTAGAGGGACAAGGTGCCAGGGGGTTGGAGGTAGGGGTGGGTGGGGTGAGGTGGGGGCATCAGGGAGCATCAGGGTGAGAGGATAGGACAGGTCCCGGGGAGGTGATTGGAGAGCAGATGGGCTAGAGCCGCTGCGGGCAGCATCGTCCTGCTCTTGGGCACTTTATGTCTTGTGACCCACCCTTTCTTTGCTGAACTGAGAACTGAGGACCTCTTCCTCCTCACTGTCTCCAAACATGTCTTTTTGGCTCTAGAAGATGAAGCCATGACCACCCAAGCGGTACTCACCACAACCCCCGAGCCTCCCATCAAGCCACGCCTAGGGGAGCTGACTGTGCCAGATGCCACCCCTGACTCCCTGAGCCTGTCCTGGACGGTCCCTGAGGGCCAGTTTGACCACTTTCTGGTTCAGTACAAGAACGGCGATGGGCAGCCCAAGGCAGTGAGGGTGCCAGGGTACGAGGATGGTGTCACCATCTCTGGCCTGGAGCCAGACCACAAGTACAAGATGAACCTGTACGGCTTCCATGGTGGTCAGCGTGTGGGCCCTGTGTCTGCCATCGGGGTGACGGGTGAGTGCACAGCAGGAGCCCCAGGATAGGATTTGTGGCTGCCCCACCCTCATGCCTTTGGTGACAACTAGTGGGAGTGAGTCTGGTCAGTAACCACAGACCTGCTTGTGGCTGAGGCTCCCTCTGTGCCTTCCTCTGTGGTTGACCACTGGCTCCTCTGGGCAGAGAGAGGCCATCAGGAGGTTTTCCGTGCGGGTGGCGGTTCAGGTTCCCACCACTGACCCCAGAGCTTGCATTGCTCGCTAGCTGTCAGCTGACAGGACCACCCAGTCCCAAGGATTGTCTTCTCTGAACTGACCTCAGGTCACCCAGTCACGGCCTTGGCGCCTCCATCCTTCTCCCCAAGACCCAAGGACATCCCCCAGGGACCCTGCCTCACTCTCTCTGTGTCCCCTCTTCTCAGCTGCAGAGGAAGAGACCCCCAGCCCCACAGAACCCAGCACGGAGGCCCCGGAGCCCCCTGAGGAGCCACTCCTGGGGGAGCTGACGGTGACAGGATCATCCCCAGACTCGCTGAGCCTCTCCTGGACCGTCCCCCAGGGCCACTTTGACTCCTTCACCATCCAGTACAAGGACAGGGACGGGCGGCCCCAGATAGTTCGTGTCGGGGGCGAGGAGAATGAGGTCACCGTGGAGGGCCTGGAGCCTGGGCGCAGGTACAAGATGCATCTGTATGGCCTCCACCAGGGGCAGCGCGTGGGCCCTGTGTCCACTGTGGGAGTGACAGGTGAGTGAGGGAACAGGTCCTTACCCTCGGTTCTCTTCTATACTCTTTTGTGCATCTTCTTTGAATCTGAGGCCCTCCTACTTCTGGGCCTCGAGGTCCCTGTCTTTTCTCACATTTTGCCGATGATCCTGCCTCATCCTTGAGCTGAGTGAGGATTAGTGGAGACTTTGGAGTCAGATGAGCATGTAGTCTGTGCCCCACGGTTTGTAGCTTACTTCCTCCCATCATGGTCTGGAACCTCCATGTTGTTCATTTGTTCTGTCTTCAGGCTCCCTGAATGGGTATTTTAGTGGCTCTGAACATTCTCCACAACCAGGCTTCCTGGATCAGTATTTGCCTCAAATGTGGGATTTTACAAGTGTTTCTTGCCCTCTCTGTGCCTCAGATCCCTGCAGAATGGAGGTGATCATCGTAAAGGCGCTTACTTCATATGTTATGTGATGGTTAAGGGCAGTAATATTTGTGTACTGCTTGCAGCAAACCCAGCACGTAGTAAGCACTTTAGAAGAGGCTGCTAGGAAACATTTATTCCACAGCCTGGAGAGAGCACTGCCTCCTTTGGGCAGGGTTCTGTCTCCTGACCATTTGGCCTCCTCTGCTCTTTTCCAGCCTCCCTGCCCACACAGCCCCCCGTGGAGCCCCGCCTGGGGGAGCTGGTTGTGTCAGCGGTGACCTCGGACACAGTGCAGCTCTTGTGGACGGTGGCCCAGGGTCCCTTTGACTCCTTTCAGATCCAGTACAGGGATACACAGGGGCAGCCCCAGGCAGTGCCCATGAGCAGAGACCAACGAGAGGCCACCATCTCAGGGCTGGACCCAGCCCGCAAGTACAAGTTCCTGCTCTTTGGACTCCAGAATGGGAAACGCTATGGCCCAGTCCCAGTGGAGACCAAGACTGGTGAGTGAGGGCCCAGCCTTCCTTGGCCGGAGAGCTTCCCAGTCAGCCTTCGCCCCCTTGTGGCAACAGTTGGAATTTCATGTTTCTGTACCCCACACTCCAGACCTCAGGGCTCATTTACTTACTGGGTCCCTGGCCTCCCCTTCTCCCCTCACTCCATCCTGCTCCCTACACCCCAGGGTACACTTACTTTCTTGCCTGGCTCCTCCTTTGTCCCTACTTCTGTCCAGTCACTTCCTCCACTCCCAGGACAGGCTCACAGTCACAATACCCAGGAAGCTCAACCATCTCTGTTACTCTCCACTCAACGCACTCTCTTTTCTTACTGCAGACATGAAACCCTCTCCCCGCCTGGGGGAGCTGACAGTGACAGATGTGACCCCTGACTCCATGGGCCTCTTGTGGACAGTTCCTGAGGGTGAATTCGACTCCTTTGTGGTCCAGTACAAGGACAGGGATGGGCAGTCCAAAGTGGTGTCCGTGGCCACAGACCAGCGCAAGGTCACTGTCCTTGGCTTGGAGCCCAATAGGAAATACAAGTTCCTGCTCTATGGTCTGGCAGGCAGGAAGCGACTGGGCCCTATCTCTGCTGATGGCACCACAGGTGAGCCTAGCCCTGGCTCCTACCTTTTTCAGAGCTGCCTCTTGTCCAAGCCCCCAGAGCTGGCCCTATGGCCTTCCCATGAGATTGATTCTATCTGAAACCTTGGCACAACCACCTTAACACCAAAAGTGAGTCCCTGTGTGTGTCAGGCACAGTTCTGAGCATTTTATATGCATTATTTCCTCATTCACTGACTGCCGATGAAGTACAAAGAACCCAGGCTTTGGGGCCAAGCAGACCTGTATTTCAGTTCCAGTCCCACCCAGCCCTTGCCAGCTGTGACCATGGACAACCCTAACTCTTGGTGTCCTCACCTGCATAATGGCTGTGAATAATACCCACTGGCACTCAGTAGTTGTTCCAGTCCTCCTCCCTCCATCTCAACTGTGAGGCAAGAGGTGGAAAATAAGGGAGGGCCTGGTTACAGAAAGACTATGGAAAAGTCTGGTGTCTTTGTGCCCATGACTCAGGCCCCTGAGGAAGGGGTGGGGTGTGTCACTGACCCTCACCATTCTCCTGGGACCATGAGTCACCCTGGCCAGAGGAGGAAAGAGCAGCCAGCCAGTCGGGGTCAGGGCCTGGGGCCCTCCAACTCCATATTCTCCTTCCCCAAACCTTCGCTATGGGGACTGCATACAGGCTTCCCTTCAAGGCCACCCATCAGTACCCTCCCCCACCTAGGCAAGTCTCTTCTCCCAGCTCTTCTCCTGGCTTCTCCCCTGCCACACTGGCTGCCCTGGTTCAATAGTGTCAGCATGGGACTGGGGAAGTGGGAGGCATGGACGGCCAGGCTGATGGCTGTGAAGGGAGGTCATGGTTGGGCAGTGATGGGAGCCCATGCTCTGACTAGCTGCCCAGCCCAGCTCCCTGGTATCTCCCTGACAACCCAGAGGCTTCCTGGGAGTCTCTCTCAGCTCTGGCCACATCCCTGCCCAGGGATCAGGGGTCAGAGGAAAGGAAGGCCCTCTCTGCATCCAAAGCCACTCTCTCTCAGGAGATGATCATTATGTATTTACCAACCCCATGATCACAGTAGGGAGGGAGTGGGGGCAGGAAGGAGTTTGGGTAGAGGGAAAGAGGTGGCTGTCTTCCCATTCCTGTAGGGCAGGACTGGAGCAGGTCCGTGTGTCTCCTCAGGGGGCTGTCTCTGAGGCCATGCTTCAGGGACCTGTCCCAGACCCTCACACCTCTCAGAGGTTGCCATGGCTGGGGTAAAGGCAGTGTCTGACAAGATGTTTTTTTTTCCCCATCCTCTGAACAGCTGCCCTGGAGAAGGAGCCACAGTCCCTGCCCCGCCTGGGGGAACTGACAGTGACTGAGGAGACCTCAGACTCCCTGCACCTGTCATGGACGGTGGACCAGGGCCCCTTTGATTCCTTCGTGGTCCAGTACAGGGACACAGATGGGCAGCCCCGGACAGTGCCTGTGGCTGCAGACCAGCGTGAGGTCACCATAAAGGACCTGGAGCCTGGCAGAAAATACAAATTTCTGCTCTATGGGCTCCTTGGAGGAAAGCGATTGGGCCCCATCTCTGTCCTGGGATTGACAGGTAAAGATGTCCTACTTGGCTCTAGCAGGCTAGCCTGAGTCCATTTCCTTGTGCCTTGGGGCTGAAGACAAAGGAACTGGCAAGAGTGGGCAGGTGGGGAGAGAGGGAGCCCTGACCAGGGCACAGGAGGGAGGAAGAGTGTACAGCCTCATTGGCTCTGACGTTGGTCAAGAGGAGGAGCCAGGACAGTGGGAAGGAAAGCCCCTGGCAGTGGTTGCCTAATCGCCCAACCCCCCTCCCATCACTGCTGCTGCTCCCATTACTCATTGAGGCAGCTGTTACCTCCCAGCAGGGTGGCCTTGCCCAGATAGGGGCAAACCTCCCTGCCATGGATGAATCAGGAGCGTTTTTTTTCTCAAACGGAAAATCACTGGGAAACAAAATGGAAAGGGTACACAAAAACCAATAGAAGTAGCTGCATTTATGGTAGAAGCTCTTCCAGAGGTTACTGGTGCCCACCTCAGACCAGCCCAACCAGGGCACGCCTGGTGTGGCTTGCTCAACACATACACCAGCCATTTCCACCTCAGCTCCTCTCGGAAGGGAGTACCTCATGCCCCAGCTCAGCAAGTGTGTCCCAGGGCATAGGGCGGGCACAAGGCTGTGCTGACATCCAGAGGAGGGGCTTGATAGGACATCAGGGTGCAGGAGGAGAAACAAGTACCTGGTTCAGACGTGGCACAGGAGCCCACAAAGGAGCAATGATGCTCAGCAGCTTCCTGAGCAGGAGGCCACAGTTGGCCTCAGGAGCCCCAGGGGTGGCAAGAGTCAGTGCCAAGGCAGGGATGTGGCAGAAGGAGAGATGAAGAAAAACCTAGGTCTCTCCTTTCTGTCCACCTGGCTGGGATCTGTAAGTCCCCACCTCAGCTTTGGGCCCACCTCAGAAGCCCCTCTTTGGGAAGCAGGATAGAAAAGGCAGGTTCCCACAGCACCCTCCACTCAGCTTCTCCCCTGGGCTTCTACGCACAGCCCCAGAAGAGGACATGCCAACCCCAGAGACGCCCCAGTCCCCTGAAGAGCCCCGCCTAGGGGTGTTGGCAGTGACTGACACGACGCCAGACACCATGCGCCTCTCGTGGAGTGGGGCCCAGGGCCCCTTTGAGTCCTTCGTGGTCCAGTATGAGGACACAGATGGGCAGCCCCAGGCCTTGCTTGTGGATGGCGACCAGAGCAAGGTTCTCATCTCAGGACTGGAGCCCAGCACCTCCTATACCTTCTTCCTCTATGGCCTCCATGAAGGGAAGCGCCTGGGGCCCATCTCAGCTGAGGGCACCACAGGTACCGCCAGACCTCGCTGGCCTCCAGACTGGGACGAGGAAGGGTGAATGGGGTGGGGGGAGAAGTGGGTCTGTGGGGAAAGAGCATGTGGAGGGTACCAGGCTGTGTCTGAGCAGCCCTCTGGGCTCCCTTCCAGCAAGATCCCACCTGTGGGTACAAGTCCCTCACTAGCTCCATTTTACAGCTGGAGAAATAGGGGCCAGGGGTGGGGTGGGGGAAGGTAGAAGGGACCTGCCCCCGTCACCAAGCTGGTGGGCTCCTGTCTCCAATCCCTTCTCTCCCACCCACTCCGGGCAGGGCCGGCTCCTGCTGGTCAGACCCCAGGGGAGCTAGGGCCCCGCCTGTCACAGTTGTCGGTGACCGACGTGACCACCAGTTCTCTGAGGCTCAACTGGGAGGCTCCACCTGGGGCCTTTGACTCCTTCCTGCTGCGCTTTGGGGTCCCATCACCAAGCACTCTGGAGCCGCATCTGCGTCCTCTGATGCAGCGGGAGCTGATGGTGCCGGGGACACGGCACTCAGCCATGCTCCGGGACCTGCGTCCAGGAACCCTGTACAGCATGACGCTGTATGGCCTGCGTGGGCCACACCAGGCCGACAGCATCCAGGGCACCGCCCGCACCCTCAGCCCAGGCAAGGCCCCATGCTAGGCTCCCCCAAAGTGGGGGTCTTCATGCTTTTCCGAGGGAACCTGACGCCTCAGCCAGAGGGGAGGTGGCGAGTTGGCACAGGGCTTGAAGGAATCTACAGAATGATTCTGATTCTGATGTAGAGGAAAGGGGGGTGGAGGGCCTATTTGGAGTAGGGATGAGGGATGGGACTCCTGGGGCAGAAATCCCCCTGCCCCTGTCCTCACCATTGTGCCTTGCCCCCTCCCTAGTTCTAGAAAGCCCCCGTGACCTCCAGTTCACTGAAATTGGAGAGACCTCTGCCACGGTCAACTGGATGCCCCCACCATCCAGGGTGGACAGCTTCAAAGTCTCTTACCAGCTGGCAGATGGAGGTGATGCCTTTGCCTGTGTCCTCATTTGCTTGTGTTTCTCCCACCCCTGAGCTCTACCCACCCTCCAGCTGCTCTGGGTTTTCCTGGATAACATCCCAACCCTCTTGGTGTTTCTAGGGGAGCCACAGAGTGTGAAAGTGGACGGCCGGACCCGGACCCAGAAACTCGAGGGGCTAATCCCAGGTGCTCGCTATGAGGTGACTGTGGTCTCCGTTCGAGGCTTTGAGGAAAGCGAGCCTCTCACAGGCTTTCTCACCACAGGTGAGAGGCGCTGGGATCTGGGCAAGAGGTGGGAAGCAAGAAAATGGCGTGGGTGGGAGTCGAGAGGAAACAGGGAGGGGGATGGGAGGCATTAAAGGCTCTGATTGCTGACAAGAGGCCAGTGGAATTTGGAGAAATAAGGGGTAGGGAGGGCAGCAGAAACAGCCGAGTCTCTCCCTTCTCCCAGTTCCTGATGGCCCCACCCAGCTGCGGGCACTGAACTTGACCGAGGGATCCACCCTGCTGCACTGGAGGCCCCCGCAGAACCCTGTGGATAAATATGATGTCCAGGTCACAGCCCCTGGGGGTGAGCAGGGCTAGGGCCTCTGGAAGGGACATGTTCAAGGTGGGGACTGCAGACACAGGCCAGGCTCTGGCAGGGCATGGAGGGGACAGTCGCTGATGCCCACTTGCTTTCCCAGTCCCGCCTCTGCAGGCCTCAGCTCCAGGCAGTGCAGTAGACTACCCTCTGCACCACCTCGTACTCCATACCAACTATACCGCTACTGTGCGTGGCCTTCGGGGCCCTAACCTCACTTCCCCGGCCAGCATTACCTTCACCACAGGTACACGGTGAACTGTGTGAGTCAGGGGAGGGGAAAGAGAGGGCCAGGGTGGGCCTCATCCCCACCTCCTCTCCCAATTTCCCTCCCAGGGTTGGAGGCCCCGCAGGACTTGGAGGCCAAGGAAGTGACCCCCCGCACGGCCTTGCTCACTTGGACAGAGCCCCAGGTCCCACCTACAGGCTACCTGCTCAGCTTCGACACCCCTGGTGGACAGACCCAGGTGCCCCCTCCCCCCCTGCCCGCTGACCAACTCCCCTCCTTGTATGATTCAAGGAGGTGCTACCTCTGGCTGTCCCAGTGGGTCTCCACAGCCCTCCCCTGACCACCCCTTCCTCGTCTGTCCCACAGGAGATCCTGCTCCCAGGAGGTGTCACCTCTTACCAGCTCCTCGGCCTCTTTCCCTCCACCCCTTACAATGCTTGGCTCCAGACCATGTGGGGTGACAGCCTCACGCCGCCAGTGTCCACCTCCTTCACCACCGGTACCTGGATGCAGGGGCTCCGATGGTGGGGGTTGGCTGGGCAGCAGGGGCCTGAGGTTTGGAAAAAGGACCAGCCCCTTCCTCCCCTCTCCCTAGGTGGGCTGCGGATCCCCTTCCCCAGGGACTGCGGGGAGGAGATGCAGAATGGGGCCGGAGCCTCCAGAACCACCACCATCTTCCTCAACGGCAACCGCGAGAGGCCCCTGAACGTGTTTTGTGACATGGAGACTGATGGGGGCGGCTGGCTGGTGGGTGGCATCAGGAAGCCTGGGAGTCAGTGCAGGGCAGAGGCCGCTGCCCCTGGAGCCGGAGGCTGATGGTGCCCCTACCTGCTTCCCAGGTGTTCCAGCGCCGCATGGACGGACGGACCGACTTCTGGAGGGACTGGGAGGACTATGCCCTCGGTTTTGGAAACATCTCCGGGGAGTTCTGGCTGGGTCAGTGCCTCACATTGTTTAGGGAACTGGGGAGGGGATGGGCCCTGTGGACACCAGGACCCTGATGAGGGCACTCCCCCCCTGCCCACCTCCAGGCAATGAGGCCCTGTACAGCCTGACACAGGCCGGCGACTACTCCATGCGTGTGGACCTGCGGACTGGGGACGAGGCCGTATTTGCCCAGTATGACTCCTTCTGGGTGGATTCGGCGGCTGAGTACTACCGCCTCCACCTGGAGGGCTACCACGGCACTGCAGGTAAGGGTGGGCCCCAGGGGCCGGGAAGGTGGGACTGGGTGGGGAGGCCCTTATGGCTCCTTCCTTGCCCTGCCCAGGGGACTCCATGAGCTACCACAGTGGCAGTGTCTTTTCCGCCCGGGATCGAGACCCCAACAACTTGCTCATTTCCTGCGCCGTCTCCTACCGAGGGGCCTGGTGGTACCGGAACTGCCACTATGCCAACCTCAATGGACTCTATGGGAGCACAGTGGACCACCAGGTGAGGGGCCAGGAAGCAGTGCAGAGGTCTGGTGGTTGGGGCTCTCCTGCCTGAGCTTGAACTCCGTAGTGCGACAGGACGAGGGACTGAGTGGCTCAGTGCCTCAGGGCCGCGTCTGTGAAACGGAATAATAATGCCAACCTGGCAGTTTTCTTGAGATTATTTATTGGCTGAATTGAACTCAGGATTGAGCGTCAGTATTTTGCAGTTGAGGAAGGGAGCAGGGGGAGGATGGTCGAGTGCTGGAAACCCCCTCCTGAGGGCCTGGGAGTGGGTCAGGGAGCAGATGGGAAGTCCAGCTTTGACTCTCTCTTGACAACCCCCTTCCCAGGGAGTGAGCTGGTACCACTGGAAGGGCTTTGATTTCTCGATGCCCTTCACGGAAATGAAGCTGAGACCAAGAAGCTTTCAGTCCCTGGCGGTGGGAGGCTGAGCTGCTGCCCACCTCTCTCGCACCCCAGTATGACTGCTGAGCACTGAGGGGTCGCCCCAGAGAAGAACCAGGGGCCGTTATCACCGTTGGCCGCCGGAGGAAGCCTTCTCTGCCAGCGATCTCACAGCACCATGTTTACAGGGGGGAGGGGAGGGGTTTACACGGGAGCAATAAAGGAGAAACTGAGGCACGCGGCTGGCACCAGTCCTGCCCGTCACTGGCGCTGGCCCAGGACGCGGGCCCCCACGCCTCGGGGCTGCAACCGCACCTCGAAAGGCTGCATCAGGAGGTTGACGCCGAAGTGGGGCTGGGGCTGCAGGGAGGGCAGGGCGCCCCCGAGCGGCAGCAGCGTGAAGCCCTGCAGCAGCCGCGCCAGCACCACAAAGAGCTCCAGGCGCGCCAGCGGCTCGCCCAGGCACACGCGCGCTCCGCAGCCAAAGGCCAGCGCCCTGGGGCTCGTGCCCGGCTCCAGGAAGCGGTCTGCAGGCAGGTGGACAGACAGGGTGGGGAGGAGTTCAGCGGCTGCCGGACCAGCCTCTGCCTCCCACGCGGCAGGCACCCAGCCCCCCACATACCGGGCCAGAACTTGTGCGGCTGCTCCCAGACCGTTTCGTCCAGGTGGGCGCCTTGGAGGTTGGGGATGATGATTGTGCCCTCGGGGATGTCATAGCCCAGGATGCTGGAGGAGGGTGGAGTTAGAGCCTGGCCCCCTGGCCTAGGGCCTTCCTCACTCATCCTAGCCCTCAAGAGTCACCTGCTGTGCCGCGTGGTGCGGTGGGGCAAGGCCAAGGGCACCACAGGCCGCAGGCGCAGCACCTCGGCGATGGTGGCGTTGAGCAAGGGCAGCCGCCCACGGTCCTTGTAGGAGACTGGGGAGCCAGAGCCCTCGGGGCCCAGTTCGCGGTCTAGCTCTTCCTGCAGTCGCTGCTGAATCTGGGAAGTGGGGGCGTCCAGGGTGGAGTCCAGCCCCGGCCAGCCCACAGCTGCCCAGTCTTCACCCGCTCCCCCAGCTGGGTTGCCAGTGCAGCCTTTGTGCCAATTAGGAGAGGCACAGCCTGAGCCTGTGCACTGCGCTCAGAGCCCAGCAAGCCAGGTTCCCTCTGCCCTGGCCAGGTGCCAGGAAGAGCCTTTTGCCTGCCCCCAGGGCGCACCTCAGGGTGGTGAAGCAAGAAAGCTACAGCCCAGGAGAGAGTGGTCGCTGTGGTCTCAGTGCCACCAATGAGAATGTCCACCACAGCCATATGTACATGCCCTTCTAGGAGCTGTCCAGGGCCCTCTTCCACTGCCGGCAGTGCCACTCCTTGGAGCATGTAGTCCATCAGGTCCCTCCAGTGGCCTGTCACCAGGCTGTCCTGCAGAGAGAGGGTGGAGGAGCGGGCTGAGCCCCTGGCTTGGAGAGAGGGGCATGGGGTGGCAACAGGCCCAGAGCCAGGGCATGTAGGACACCCTCCTTGCAGCAGTGCTGGGGCCAGCAGCATCACTGGCTGTGGGCAGAGGGCAGCCCTCACACACAGTCCCCACCTTGTGCTGCCTCAGCTGCTTTTCTACCATGCGGTCCCTCTTCTCCATGATCTGCTTCAGCCTCTGGAGACCTGGATTGGGGAAAAACTGGGGTGGGAACAAGAGAGGATGGCTGACGGGAAGAAGCCTATTCCTCCACCCCAGCCTTCACCAGGACCCAGGGGTGTCTGAGCTGCACCCTCCTGGAACCCAGGGGTGTCTGGGCTGCACCTCCTCACCCTGAGAAAGGGAATTACATCCACAATTTGGACCGACCAGTGGTTCCAGGCATCCATCACTTCCTGGACACAGTCATGATAGGCATGTACTAAGTTATCCTCCTGCCAGGAGAGGAGGAAATGCTTTCAGTTCAGGACTGAGAAAGGCTCAGGCAGTAGCTGTGGGGTAGGTCTGAGGGGTTATGAGGGCAACCTTGATCTTGTCTCCAAAGGTGAGGTAACAGATGATGCTGCAGGTAAGGAGAGAAAATTCCTTCTGGATGGCCACAGGGGCGCCGGCCTGGGCTCTCATGCGCTGTGGAGAAGGAGCACGGGATGAGCAGGCCAGTGGGGGTGGGGGTGCTAGTAGGCTGTAGGCTGACCTGAGGTGGCCGTGGGAACCCAGCCTCACCTCACAGAATTCCTGGGCCAGCTGTTCCACCATGGGCTCCAGGGAGTTGCGAATGCCCAGCAGCAGGGCTGAACGGGTGAGTTTCTTGTGGGCCTTCCAGAGCAGGGAGTAGTCCCCTAGTGACAGGTCTGGGTAGTCCTGAGACACCAGTTTGTCTGTGGGAGGGATTGGGGATAGAGGGTGAAAACTGACCAAGGAAGCCGAGGACCTGATCATCTTCTGCCTCCCTCAGTCCCTGCTTCTTTCCCCAAGAAATGCCCCCAGCCAGGTGTGGTGATGCACACCTGTAATCCCAGACTTGGGAGCCCAAAGAAGGAGGATCACTTGAGACCAGGAGTTCGAGACCAACCTGGGCAACATGGTGAGACCTCATCTCCACAAAAAAATTCTTAAAGAAAAAAATGCCTCCAGCCCTTACAGGAAAGCGTCTCAGGTCTGCCAGCAAAGTCCTCCCACTTTCTGACCATGGCTTCCTCAATGGTTCTTTTGGAGTTCAGCACCACCACATCTAGGGGAGAGCCAAAGCAGCGTTAGCAGGGAGAGAACCTCTGGCCCATGGTGGGGCCAGGGAGAGGGTGGGCTCTTACCTTGCAGGCCGAAGCGGAGCCTGTAGATAGGCCCGAATTTCTGAGTCAGGCCAAGCAGATGGATGGGGAGGTTGGGCTGCAGCAGGTGCAGGAAACCTGGAGCAAAAGGCGGGAGGCGGAGGCTCCTGAGCTTCCACCAGCCCCACAGCAGGCGGGCACTGACCAGCAGGGTCAGCAGCAGCAGCAGCAGCCCAGGGAACAGCATAGCAGACACTCCAGCGAAGACCCTGACACGGCCACTTATAGCTCTTGAGCCCCGGCCATCCCTTCTGCTGCTTAGACCATTTGGGGGCCTTTCTCCACCCCACCCTCGTGTTCCCTCCCACCCACAGAATGTCACATTTCTGGAATGGCACCAGTGCCATTGACCTTGGGAGGTCCACGTTTCACAAAATGTACCATCCATCAAGAAGAAAGAAAAAGAAATGTAACCCTGACCTTTCTTCTGCATCCATAAGCCGCTTTCTGGCTCCACATCAACCGTGTGGGCAAGTGCATCCCCCCTCGCCTGGTCCTCCCCCTCTGCCACTCTGCTGTGGGTCAGTTTACTGGTATGAGGGTTGTCCCAGAGAGAAAATTGCAGTTCCTGCCAAATACGCCCTCCAGGATGGCCTGAAGAACAAGATGAGATTCATGTGGGGGTTTCGTTTGTTTAACTTACAGATAGGGTGACCATATGGCCCGGTTTGCCTGGGGAGTTCCAGTATATATCTGTATTCCAGTGTAAGTATTAACAGTGCTCTGTTCAGTCTCAAAAGTGTCCAGAAGACCAAGAAATGGTGTCCCTTTGTGGAACACTTACCAAGTACCAGACAATGTGCTAAGTGCCTTGCCTGCATTAATTTACTCCTTCACAACCAGGGACTGTATGACACACCAGTAGTGTCCCCATTTTGTGGATGAAGAAACAGAGGTGAGAGGCTGAGTGACTTGCCCAAGAGCACACCAGGAAAGTGGCAGAGCCAGGATTCGGGCCTGGACATCTGGCTGCAGAAACTGTACCTTAGCCAATCTCTCTTTGGTCACGAGGAAAAGAGACCAACTTGAGCTGGTTTGAGATAAAAATAGGAATTGTTTTAAGGCCAGGTGTTGATGGCTCAACCCTGTAATCCCAGCACTTTGGGAGACTGAGGTGGGAGAACAGCTGTAGCCCAGAAGTTCGAGACCAACGTAGGCAACATAGCAAGATCTCATCTCTACAAAAACCAAAGAGTTGCCAGACATAGTGGTGCACACCTGTAGTCCTAGCTACTCAGGAGACTGAGGTGGAAAGATCAACTGAGCCCAGGAGGTCAAGGTTGCAGTGAGCCATGATTGTGCCACTGTTTCCTGCCTGGGCAACAGAGTGAGAACTTGACTCAAAAAAAAAAAATTGTTTTAAATACAGGAGTGTCTCACAGAATTCAAGAGCAGGAAAGGAGAGAAGGAAACCTCACTGGCCTTAGAAGGCCAGTGATATGGAACAGACAAACCTCAGAGATGGGCAGTCTCCTTGCTCTGTCTCACTCTCCTCTTTCTGTTTTCTTCTCCTCTCTCCAGTCAAGCTTCTTGTGCTTCCAGGCACAGGCAGAACAGGACTACTGTTAGGACCAGAGTCCACAGGTTACACGTCCAGCCCAGGAAGAGTGTGGAATCCCAGCACACCTGGGAATGCTGCCATCAATTTCAAAGGAGGAACTTGATAGCCACAGTCAGGTCATGAGCAGGGTCCAGCCTATTTGGGGAGCTGTGGCCAGAGGGGGGGTGGTCCCACTAAACCAAGTGACTACCAGGCACCACCTCAGTGGGTAAGGAGGCAGTTTGGAGACTTGGGGAGAAGCCATGCCAAGGAGGGGTGGCAGGGCCCAGTGAGAGGCCAGGATTGCCTGGGAGATGTGTAAGAGGTTAGAGGTGATCCAAGGTCCACGCCTCTCCCCAGCTCCCCTCCCTGGCTCTGCAGACGGACCCAGTGCCCAGGAGGGTCCCCTCCCCTCGTAGCTTTGCCTAGAGCACAGGATGTGCGCTGCACAGCCAAAGTCAAGGTTCCAGCTTGCCAGCCCCTAGATTGATGAGTTCAGGACTGGGGACCTGGTAGAAGAGGTTCAGGACCAGCCTGGATCCACGCCCAGGACTGAGAGCAAGAAAACAGGGCTGGGTGGTCACAGCTGCCACCTTCTTCACTGTTGACCTCCATACACGGGCCACTGAATCCCAGGCTCTGGTAAATGGTCCTATGCTACCCTGCTGACCAGCTCTTGGGAGAGAGATCTGATGGACAACAATAAGGCCATGTAAGCCAGAGTCCCAGGAGCCAGGAAAGGCCAGAACTTCTCAAAGGTGCATGGAATAAAAGGGGCTCAGTTCGAAAGGAGCATGCCTCGGAAAGCTGGCAGGCTTGTGAACACCCCTCATAAACTGACTTTGCTTACTTCGCCATCTCCACGTCTCCCACCCCATCTCCAAATCCAAATCCCAAATGTGGTGGACTACATGCAGTGCCCTCAAATGTGCTCTGTCCTGCCCCAGCCTCTGGGCCTTTGTACATTCTCCTTCTGCCTCAGACACCTTCATATACCCCAGCTCTCTGCCTGACTCCTTCTTAGCCTTCAGAACCCAATTTGGATGGCATCCATGTCGCTTCCTCCAGGAAGCCTTCCCAGCCTCCCTGACACTACCCTGACTGGGTTAGATACCCCCACAGAACCACACAGCTCCCTGACATCACACCTGTCACAGAGGACTGGTACTGCTCTTCCTCTTGTTTTGTCAGTGATGATCCCCTGGAGTGAGTCAGTAGCTGTATCTCTGGCATCTGGTACAGGGTGTGGCAGGGAGTGAGAGTTCCATGAATTTCTGTTGGATGGCTGAATGGCAAGCTGCTGAACTGTCATGGTCTCGATCAGAACAGATCTCAGTGAACTTTTTTGGATGGATTTCCGAGTCACTCTAGAACCCCCAGGCATGCCACCAAACAGGAGAAACCTAGGCAGGCAAGGTGGGGAGGGTAAACCCCAGCAGAACAGCAGCTTCCTCAGAGTATTAACAAACACACCAAAGTCAGACGTTTGCTTGTTACATCCTCAGACCTGGGGGTTGCACAACTCTGGGAAGGTTACCCAATGCTGCTGATAACAGAATTACGTGTGAGCAGGCTTCCAACTGACCAGGCCTTGGCTAAAAGCAACAGAACTACCAACGGCACAAGGACAGAGTAGGAGATGTGTGGCTGGATGGCAGCTCGTAAGGCAGAAGAGCTGAGGGGTCAAGAAGTGTCAGAGGCGTCAACTGAGCACGAGTCCTGCTTGCGGCTGCAGTGGCTGGCGAGAGCCGGGCAATGGAGGGCCTCGGAAGCACACTAAGGGAGGCCTCAGTGTGGACTCTGGCCCTCAGGGTGCCCGCTGTTGGGTCCCAGTTCTGCTCAGGGTAGTCCCGGGATGGACTAATCTCTGAGTGAGTCATCTGGAAAGGTTCAGGCAGGGCTGCACAAACCAAGATCACCCAGGCCCTGAGAATCTAAACTTATGCAAACCTGGCCTACTCCCCGGAAACTGGAAGGGACAGCCCAGTCCTAGAGACACACACTGACACTTTGCTGCCAAAATCCTTTATTATGCCCCTGCCAGGGCTACATTCAGGGGACCGGGTGCAGCAGTACTTCCAGCAGATTCTTTCCCCAGTGTAGGCTCTTCCCAGGGGAGGTGGAAGGGCGGCCCTCACACCTGGCACCCCTGTGTGCTGTACTCCTGGACAAAGTCACTGAGCTGGGCGCAGGCTGCCCGCTGGCGGGTGCTCCGGCACAGGCGCTCAGAGGGCATCTCCTCAATCCAGCTGTTTGAGTCCAGCAGGTATTGCGGGCTGCAGGGGACAAAGGAACAGTCAGCAGGGGTCAGGAGGATGGCAGGCAGGAGCGGAAGGAATGAGGCACCTGGTTTCTGAGGGGGCAGGGCCCAGGAGCTGGAATCTGTTCCCTAAGGCAGGTCATAAGGCATGAGGGGAGGCATTAGGAACCAGGGGCAGTGATGGGTGGCAGGGGATCCTGGGGCTCTGTAAGACAATGCAGAGAGGGATCCCTGGCCCTTACTCCTCTCTCTGCTCTTCTCCAGAGCACAGATGGCCAGTGTTTTACGAGGCACCAACTAAAAGCAAACTCTTATCCACACTGTGCTCTGTTGATGTCTGCAAGTGCACTGAGGGTAAGACCGGGTGACTTACTCTCCCTTGAGGTCACGGGTGAGCCCATCCAGACCCATGATTAAATATTCTTTCCCAGGTTCCAAGCGAAGGCGGCAAGAGGCTCGAACCAGGAAGTTGCGGGTCTGACCAGCGACAGCCTTGTCATCCTTGGCTGAGGGGGTGATGCACACAAGAGTCATTCAAGGGAAAGAGGAGGTGCAGGCTGAGCTCAGGGCCAGGGGCTGTGCACAGATCCTGTCATCCAGCCTTCACCACCCCCACGGGGAGCTGCCACTGCTCCCTATTTACGGGCAAGCCAGGGCTTCTGAGAATCACATCTGATTCTGCACTCAGACTTGTTTGAATGTTCACAATTCCGAGTGGTCAGGCCCCCAACTCAGACCTCAGCCCCCTCCCCTCCATCCATCTCCCCCAGCCCCACCCGCCTCTCAGTTCCCTTCATACTGAAGTGCAGGACTTGAGTAATCTTGGTCTCAAAGAGGCGGAAAGCAGTTCTGCCATCTTCTCGGAGAACCTGAACCTGGAAGCCTAGGGGCATTCAGAGAAGGCAGGAAGGTTAGTTACCCCAAGGCCAAGAGGGCTGGAAGTTGGTGTCAGAGCAAAGAGGCCACATGTAAGCCTGTGAGAGGAGCAAGCACCCTGGGGAGACCAACATAACTGGTCCTGAGGGAGGGTCAGACCAGGGCTGGAGTGGGAAGACTGACCGTACTCCACTCGGGGATAGTAGCAGGCAAACTTCATCCTGTAACCATCTTCCTCCTGCAGCCCCCGCTCCAGGGCGCGACGCTGCCGGGGACACTTCCCTGTAGTCAGAGGCCCAGATGAGACAATGCATAGGCCCCAACCATCCCATCTCCACACCAGGCCCCAGGCTCCGAGTCTCACCCTCAGCACACTGGCAGACATCAGCAGAGCACAGGGTAGACAAGAGTTTGCTCTTAGTTGGTGCCCCATAAAATACAGAACATCTGTGCTCTGGAGAAAAGCAGAGAGAGGAGTCAGGGTCACGGCCCCTCTCTCCATTATCTCACAGAGCTCCAGGACCCCCCGCCACCCATCACTGCCCCCGGTTCCTGACACCTCACCAGGAGGGTGCCTCAACCAAACCTCCACAAGTGCTAGAGTGTCCCGGTGTGCTCACCAGGGTTGTAGTAGTCATACAGCGCTGCGCTGGCCGGCTGCACCAGCCCCACAGCCACTTCCTGCACAGCTCCAAAGCCCACGCACTCCCGGGAGGTGGGGACCTGGCACAGGGTGGGGAGGAAAGATCAGGGACCCACTCCCTGGGCCCTGCAGGCCACTATGCTGTATCTCCTTGGCCTGTTTCTGTTTGGCTCCTGTTGGTCTTATCACCAGTGTCCTTCGCATTCTGTTACCTTCCGGACAACAGAACTCTTAAAAGCTGTCCTGCAAGGTCTCTGATGACTTCACTTCCCAGAGAGTGACCCTGCCCCCGTTTTCACTGCCCCAGGCCCTCTGCAGAGTCTTGTATCATGGACATGTTCCCTGTAAAGCTCTCCCTAAGCTAAGAGTTAGCTTCAGGACCACCCTCGATTCTGGCCTGGTCATTTCTCACATTCCCTTCTTTCCTCTTCCTTTCCTCTGAGCTCCTCTGTGGGGTCTCAGCCAGTCCCTGGCTTCCACAAATCCATCCAGGCTGATAATTCCCAAATGGAAATTTCAGCCCCACCCTTGCATTAGGACTTGGGCATTCTCCAATGCACTCTGCCTGTCCCCAGACCCCCTCACTGTCCCAGCAGCCTCATCTTTGTCATGAGACAATCGGCTCCTCCTCTATCTGCCATAACCTAACAGCAGGTTCCATCACCCTGTGTGGCCCCGTGCTCAGGTCCTAGGCCTGATCCCTCCCCATGCCCACACTGGCCAGCCCAGCCAAGTGCCCGCCAGGTCCCACCTAAGTTGTGCTGCCATCTCGTCAGCTTCTTGCCCAGGAATCTTCCGGGCTCTGCCTTTTTCCATTGTGCTCAACCTGTACACCTCTGTCTGGCTTCTCTAGCTGGGGCTGGTCCCTCTGTTCACGCTGGATGTTGCGGGGGGGTCTTCCTGACCCACAAACCCCTGGCTAATACCAGCCACCATGGCTTTCTTACATTTTCTCCCAGAGGTTATAGTAAATGTTCAAAAAAAATTTTTGAAGACCATCAGAAGGTTGATCACTCTTTTAGTCAAATAAGACCATGAAAAATACAACTTCATCCATGGCCACAATCACTTTGTAAAAGAAAAATATATGTATTTACATATATATGTGTGTGTGTAAAACTTGGATGTTTAACAAAAAAACAAAGGCAGCCCCTCAAGTTGAATAAAATCAGCCTTCTGAGAGGCTCATCAAGCCCTTAGAGCCCTTCCCTGCTGACAGGTGCTGGTGCCCACCCCAGGGCAGTGGCCTCCCTGGAGGTCTGCCCTTTACTTTCTGTGGTTCACAGGCTCACACTCTCATGCTGTCTCCCTCCTGACACCACAAGTTCTCAAGAGCACTGGCCACTGACGCAGCTGTCTCCTGAGAAATCCCATAACATACTCAGTGAACACAGTGCCATTGATTCCCTTCCAGTGTCACCTCTCCCACTCACCGAGTCAAAGTAGAGCAGGACGTGGGGCCCCTCAGTCTCAAAGTGACTCACGTAACGGTCAGAGAGGGAGGTCAGCTGTGGGGAAGGAGAGACAGTCATGGTCACAGATCAGTGGCCCTGGACCCTGTGCATAATGGAACTCAGCACCTGGGACAGAGAGGCTGGCTGACCACACCTTCTCCAGGTCAGCCTGCAGTGCGTGGAACCCGCTGAGGAGGGTGATGTCGGCGATGGCCATGCCAGACAGTCCCACCTTGCCGTTCCGCCTGCAGAGAGATGTGGCTGGTCATCCAGGTTCTACTGGTATGGGCTCAGCCCCAGCCTCCTTCCCGGTCTCTCTCCCCCTGACACCCACCAGATGCACACGGTGTACTGCACTCTGGACTCCTGATCCTCCACCACCTTGGGCACCTCCCTCCTGCGGCGGTTCCTGCGTCCCTCAAACAGCTGCAGGGGCGTCACAGGCTGCAAGTGGGCCCCTGGGTCATCCTTGGCAAGCTCATCATAGTTGTAGTCCTCGTAGTCCTCATTTGCCTCCACTGCATAGGGACGCGTGGTGAGGAGGGGCCACCATGGCCGCCCCTCCCTGCACTAGCCCCTGCCGGGCCCCAAGACCTCCCAGCCCCAATGCTCACTTGTGTACTCGATGTGGCCCTTGACTGTCACTTCAATCTGCAGGTCCTGGCAGGTCGTGTTCTTCATGTTCAGGACATTGTATGTACGAAGGACCTGGCTCAGCAAGGGGCGGGAGAGGACACGGGACATTGGGGGCCACAGATCTCTCCCCAGTGCCCTACCTAAGGACACTTCCCCAGGCAACAAGATATGAGGCCTTCAGCCCCTCCTCATTCCTCTCACCAAACCATCCATACACACAAGTGGGTAAGATAGAGAGGTAAAGAAGCAGGGGCCTGCCCTTAGATGGAAAGTTCAGGAAAGGCTTCTGGCTGAGGCTTGGAGGAGGAGAAAGAGCTTGTCCCATGGGATGAGAAGCAGGAGAAGGACATGCAAGACAAGAAGATCTGTGATCGGTGGATCTCTTGGGCCAGAGAGGCGGGCAGGGACACAATAGTGTGAGTCATGGGCGTGGCAGCGGGGAGTCTGACTTTTCTCCAAGGTTAATCTGACTGGTGTTTGTGGAAGGTCAGTCTCCCTGCCGAGTAAACAATGGACCAGACAAGTGAGGCAGGAGGTAGGGAGAAGTTCCAAGACCATCTTAGCCCAGAATCCAGGACGCAGTGACAAGGGCCCCAGGTAGCAGGGGAGCAGAGGAGGAGTACTGGGGCCTTGAGAAGGCGGGGCTCAGGAGCGGGGCCACCAAGATGGCCTCTAGAGTGGTGGCCAAGCTCCTGGGTGTAAGGGGCTCCCGTGAGCTAGGCAAGGGATGTGGGAGGAAAAGGGGTTTGGGACACGCCGTGTCTCGGGTGCTGTGGGACATGTGGGGCCCATGGGTCAGGGAAGAGGCTTGGGCTGAGGAGGATATAGAGCCATCAGCACTGAGCGGGGTAAAGAAAATGACAGGTGCCCAGAGATGAGGAGAGCAGAGCATGGGGCAACACCCAGGACCTGGTCTCTGCCCACAAGTCTCCCACATGTCCCCTCCCACTTTTGCCCATCCCTGCCCCTTCCCTGGGCCCTCACCTTCAAGGTTCCTTTGCTGTTTCCTCCCACCTTCACACTGATCTTGCTGCCCAAGGAAAACTTTCAGCAACAGAAACGGGAAGGAGAGGTCAGAAGGGCAAAGGAAAACCTGTGTGTCGCTCCAACAACTGACCCCCTCCCTCAGAACAAACCCACCTCCTCTCTCCACCCCACATGTCCACAGTTTAAACTCTGGTGTACATTCTCTCACTTCAGCCCCTAACAACCATGTTGGGTAGACTCTGCATATATTATTTTACAGGGGAGAAAACTGAAGCTCAGAGATCAGGGAACTTTCGCCAGGTCACACAGCCAGGAAGTCAGTCTTCCTTCAAGGACCTCAGGAAGAAGTGCTGTGGGGATTCTGCAGGCGTAGGGGTTGGGGATGGCTTCTGCCCTAGCCTCGCAGGTCCAGGTGTCATGGCAGCCCAGGTGAGGGAGTGGTTCACCTCTAGCTCCTCCTCCAATCCCCGAATTTGGTGGTTATTCAGCTTCAGCACATGGGACTTGAACCCATTTCGGCCCATGGAGCTGAGAGTCACATTGAGTTCCTTCTCCTGGGTGGTGTGGGAAGCAATCCAGTACGCAGACAGGGCATCCAGGGCGATCACTGTGTCCTGGGAAGGTCAGACCAAGGCTCAAGCACTTGGTCTCAGGACTACCTGTCCCAGAGCCCCAGGGCAGCCCCTACCTGGGTGCTGCGGAATCCCCCTTTAAAGCTGCCCTGATGGGTGAGCCAGGCCGCAGCCTGGTCAGCCATCTCTGCCTTGCCCTCACGAAGTAATAGATGCAGCAAGGCATAGGCTGTGGTTTCAATCCACAGGGCCGGTGACTGGGGCATGGGGTCTGTTGGGCTGCGAGGAGCCAGGGTGGGCAACACGGCATTGCTCTGAGAACTGGGGACTGAGCCCCAGTACAAGTTATCTGGAAGAAAAGGGAAACCCACAGGTGAGTGGGGGAAGCAAGGAGAGGACCCTGGTCACCTGGCCTTTGGACACCCCCTTGTGGGCTCTCCTGATTCCACCCCAAATTGTCCCTGAGGTATGCTTTACTTCCTTCTCAAGGTCTTCATCTAATCTCTCCCTCTGGACAGATTCAGGGATCTCAAGGTCCCCAGGGGCCGCAAGTTCACTGCCAGGACCCCTCATCCCTCACCGCCAGTCTCTTGGGCCATGGCCATGAGGTTGTTGTGGGCAACATCCTGCAAGTTCTGAGAGGCCTTGGTCAGTGTCAGGGCATAGGCCGTGATGGCAGCTGCATGGGCACCCAAGAGCCCCGCACTTGCTTTCTCCCCCAAGAATGAGTCTGCCTTTGAGATGGAGGTTTCCTGGAAGAAAGTAGGAGGAAAGTCTTGGGGGCTAGACCCCTGGGTTCCTGAGAAAGGAGAGACCCGGGGCCAGCAAAGGGCAGAAACACAGCTGTCCTTACCAGTCTCTGCTTCAATTGCTCTGCACTCTCATCCTGGAAGACAGCCAGCCCATGATGAAGGGCGATGGTCACAAAGGCTGTGAGCGCCACGGTCTCATCATTTCCCACCAAGCCCCCCTAGTGAGGGGAGATAAAAAGACGTCAAACAGGAGGGGAAGGGGCAGAGTGTCCTCCCATCAGTGCCCTTTGGCCCAGCCTCCAGTGGGTCCACACCTGCATGTCCCTGTGGATCACTGGACACGGGTCCAGGAATGAGCCATCATCCTGCTGCTGGGACAGCAGCCATGTGGCCGTCTCCTGCAGCTTCTCAAGCGAGCCGCCCACCTGCTCCTGGGCCAAACTCAGTACCTTCAGCACAAAGGCTGTGAGCCTGGTAAGGAGGAAGGGAGGGCTGGGGATAGGGACATTCCCTCAAGGGGACATAGCCCCACTCCTTCAGGTACCTGGCTAATCACCCTCCCCTTGTCCCAGTTCTGCCTCCACCAGCCTGACTCCCTCAGAGGCCTGAACCACTCTCCCAACCTCACCATGTGCTGCTGTCCCGGTGTAACCAAGCCCCATAGGAACCATCTGTCTTCCGGAACTGCTGGATTCGCATGTAGCCTTGAAGAGGAGAGGTGGCTGCCTGGATGATACCCACTCTTCCCCTGTTTCTGCCCAAAGTCCTGCTCCTCATTCCCATTGGAACCCCCTTTCTTTCCCTCTGTAACCTCCCGGGCTACCCATCTTCCATTAATTGCCCTTCCCTGGTCCCCACTCCTGCTTGCCCCAACACCGAGAACCTTTCTGGACGAGATCCACTGCATGGTCCTTGGTCTCGGGGGGCAGCATGCTCCACTGCTCTGTCTTGTCCAGGTAACGGGAAGCAGCCAGTGTTGGAGCCAAGTAGACCATGGTTTGTTCCCCACAGCCATGGGGAAGCCTCAGGAGGGAGGCCAGGCCTCCTGGTGACAAGGCTCCCTCAGAGCCCAACGTGTCCAATGGATCAGACGCTGCACAGGAGGGAGAGGTGGAGGATCAGAGTAGGTCTGAGGACCCAGGGTCAGAGGGTCATGGAGCGTGGGATCAAACAGGGCTCCACAGGTTTCACATGAACCCAAGGGTGGCCACTGTATGGGAAGGGAGGACATTCCTACCTGTAGCCCTGACAAAGGTGCTGATATCTTCATCAGGGATAATGTTGGGATCAGAGTTGCCAGGAATTTCCAAGGTCCGGCGTTTGTAGTCTGAAGAGATGGAGGAAGTAGGCAGTCTGTCCTGCTGTCCACATCCCCTGATACCTGCACCCCCTGAGGAAACTGATGGCTGGCGGGGGGCGGTGTCACTCACCCAGGGGATTGAGTTCATAGACCAGCTCCTCCGTGTAAATGGCCCCTTCCTTCTGTCTCGGGGAAATATGGCCATAAGAGATCATCTGCCAGCACAGACTCCCCAGTACTTTTAGTTTAAACCCCAGTGACAGAGTTGTATCAGAATGGTAGATGGGAATAGACCAAAACATGGAGTTTGGGTGTCAGGCCCTGGACTGGCCAGCAAAGAAAGTGCTGAGGATGGGAGATAAAGTTGGGAGCCCTGGGACCTGGATTCAGGGGTGTTCCATTTACCTCAATTTGCAGAACCTTAGACACTGCATCTCCCACAGGAAAATCGAAGGACCCTCGAGCCACCACCTTCAGGGACACAGCGGCAGCCGTCATGGGCACCACAGAGAAGGCAACAGGCCGGGCAGAGCCTGCAGGCACCAGCACTTGCTGGGCCAGCCCTCCACCCCCAGCCAGACACAGTCCCTCCACTGGGGACACGTGGACGCTCACCTGGGGGCAAAAAAATGGGGATGGAAAAAGCCTCAGCCCAGTTAGGCTGCCCACCCCTTACAGGCCCCTGTCTCCCCCAACTCCTGTATGCTCAGGCTCCCACGGGGCCTCACGGTCAGGTTTTTATCCAGGTAGTTGTAGAGGACAGGCCGCAGCTCGAGCTGCTCAAAGCGGTGGACAGACATGGGCAGGCGGAGGTGCAGGTGGAACTCGCGGAACACTCGGAGCTGGACTGGCGTGGCCACACACAGGCCTGATGGATGGGGGAGTGTGGGGGGCAGGGACGGAGATCAGAGGCCTGGGGGGCATCAATGCCTTGGGGCCATAGGAGGGAGGGGCAGGGGGTGACCCAGCTCTGCCCAGCCTGTCCCTGCTCTCTGGCCCATGCCAGGTGCACATTGGCACAGACCTCCCAGATCTATGGACCTCCTTCCTAAACCAGAGCAAAGGGCTAAGCAGGGAGCTGGGTGAGGGAGCCAGAAGGGCAGCCTGGGGCCCAGGCAGGGTGACCTCACCTTTGCTTTTGGACAAGCTCACGCCATGGATCTCCCATGTGGTCAGGGAGTCGGGGATCCACAGTGTCATTCTGTGTCAGGAAAGGTATAGAAGCCCTGTCACACCTTGGCTGGCCCCAGACTCAGCCCAGAGACAAGGTCAGGCCCGCCAACACCCTTACATTTGGGAACGGTCCACACTTTCCACTCTCCAGAGCCAGTTCTCTGGGAAGAAGCTGCGTACAAGAATGTCATCCTCGTCGATCAAGTCCTCCTCCTGCAGGACCTCCATGGCTGGGGATCACAATGGATGGCAGTAAGGAGGGGGCCATTCTGTCCTTCCAGCCGCCACCGCTTGTCCCTCAGCCCCCTTCAGCTCCTCACCTCGGGCGAGGCCCGTGGGCCTGCTGGCCCTGCTCTTCTTGCGCAGGTTCTCAGCAAACTGGCAGCAGGACAGGAAGGGCTCCCGGCAGACTGGCTGCTGCACACGGGCTGCTCGCTGCTCGCAGGAGCGTGGCATGGGCAGCCGTGTCAGCCCATCCTGGCAGCAGCGCTTGGCTATCGGGGAAGCATACTGGCCCACTGCAGAGCCAGGTAGGAGTGGGCATAAGGGGACAAAGAGGAGATACACTTCAGCCGCCACCCCGGCCCTGAGATCCACAAGGACTCACCTTGAGAGACCAGCAACAAAAGAGAGGTCGCCTGAGAAAGCTGCCCGCCCTCCCACCTTTAGCCCCGGAATTTGGATCTCCAGCCCCAAATACCACATACCTCACTGAGGAGCCGAGAGACAGAAAGGCAGATCTCCCACCCTGATGCCAAATAGAGAGTTTAAGCTGTGTCACAGGCACCCACAACTTACATTTTTCACTGATTGCCTTTTGGAAGCTCACATTTCTCTTTTTCCGGGTTGTCTTCTCCTTAGGACAGCTCAGACCTAGTAGAGAGCAAGACTGCCATCAAGCCATCGGCGTGCAGCCTCCTCCCCCCGCCACTCTCCTTCCTCTGGCCTCCCTCACCCCTCCTTCTTCCTACCTTGCCCCTCAGGCCCTTTCTCCTTCCTTGTCTTTCCACCTCCCGCTCCCCTCCCTCCTCTGTTCTTACTCTTTCTGGGTAAGGTCAATTGGTCGCCATCAGAAAAGGCCAGACCCGCTGCCTGGAACACCTGAAGGGCGTTGTCCCCACCCCCAGGACCACAGCTGAGGTCATAGCTGTTCATAACTTCAAAGACCTGGCAAGAAAGGCAGGGATGCTAGAGTCAGGAGTGGCTGAGGGGCAGGACCAGGCGGTCAGCTACAGGTGGGAGGGCAGGACACGGATAAATATGAAAGAGATACAGGGAGTGGAGAGATAGAGACCATGGGGCCCAGAAAGGAAGACGATGAGACCCAGTACTTGAGGGAAGATGAGGAGGAATCTGTGGGGGTCTGAGTAGACTCCAGGGGTTGGGTCAGAGGTCAGGGAAGCAGAGGGATAAGCCGTGGAGGGAAAGGAGGTTTGCGGAGAGGGTCTGGACAAACCTTGCCCATGTCGAGAGGCTTGTGGGACTTGCCGCCCACAGCATACAAAGCTGTGTCCACAGCGCCCAGTGCCACCAGGGCTGGGGAGTCAGTTTGCAGGTGGAGCTTTGCAGTCTCCCCATTCCGGTACTCCTTGGTGCCGTCCAAGCTCAGCTCCAGCTGGCAGGGCAGGAGGCCGGGGCAGTCAGTGTGGGAGCACTCCCTTCAGTCCCTGCCTCCTTGCCACATCCCAAGCTAAATCCATGCCCTATTGGCAATCACCCCATCCTCCTTCTCTCTAGCCCCTCAACACAAACGCCATCTCTCCCAATCCCAGTCACCTTGCCCTCGCAGGCCTCTGCCTGAACGTCCACTCGCAGGGAGTTGGCCACTGGGAGGCCTCTATGGTAGTAGAAGGCCACAAAGTAGAAGGAAGGTGCCAGGTGATGGTCCACAAACACGGAGACTGAGGTCAGGGTCCTCCGGGGCTCTCGATTCATGGCCACAATCTTACCCCGGGATAGGATCTGGGCCAAGAAGAGGTGGGGCAAGGTGGTTTCCTCTTCATGGGACAGTCCTAGCCCTGAAGCCACCCCTGCCATGCCCAGAGGGCTCTTCTCGGCACCCCTGTCCTCCATGGCTCCCCAGCTCATGCATACCATGTAGTAGTAATGAGAGAAGGTGTCCCCACTGACACCCACAGCTCGCAAGTTCAGGTTGATAGTTTCCCCAACACTAGGGGGTCGAGAATCTGGTCGCTCAATGGACAGAAACCCAGGGCCTTCTGAAGGTGGGGCTGTCACAGTGAGCCTGGCTGTAGCTGGATGGGGGGAGCCTGCAGACACCTAGAAAGAAGCGCAGGTGTGGGTAGGTAGTAGCAAGGACCTGGGAACTCCTCCTCTCCCAAGTCAGGCCGTGGATCCTCAGGAAGCCAGCGCACTCTCCTCCCCTTCCCCTAGTCTCCCATGGGTCAGAGGAGTCCTACCAAAAGCTGCAGCTCTAGGGCAGGCTGAGGGATAATGATGGGAAAGCTGACTTGGCCACTCCCATCTGTATTTCGTTGAAAGTCCTGGATTTTAGAAACAGGCCCAGGAGAAGACACCGTTGCAGAAACTTTGACAGGAATGCCAGAGGCAGGAGAGCCCGACATCTCACGGACCACAGCCTGGGGTGGAGGAGGGGCAGGTAAAGAGAGTGAGCAGTGAGACCCTGGTCCCTTCTGGCCATCCCTTCCCCACCAATCCTCCCCCTCCAGAAGAAACCTGCAGCATGAAGGGGGCCCCAGGCACAAGATGTCGCTTGGTGTTGCTAAGATCCAAGGAGAAAGGAGATGACACAAAACACCAGGATGTGAGCTCCGCTTCCTCCATCTCCCCCCCTGCAAGATGAAGGGCAGAGAGAAGTGGAAGATGGATTCCCAGAAGAGAAGGATGGGAGAATGAGGGACGAGGGCTTGAGTGTTTCCTTCTCACGAGGCAGTGGACTCCGCAGGGCCCAGGTTCGTATGCATCCCTGAGCTCACTGAGGTCAGCAGAGTACCTGGCACATGGATGGATAGCAATACCTGTCTGCTGGGTGAGTGAGTGAATAACTGAATCAGCAAATAAATAAAGCTGAGCCAGGGAAAAGGGGCAGAATTACAGAGATGGCATTGGGTTTTTCTTGGCACTGAGTCTGAGATGAGGAGGGAGAAGTCAGGCAGTGTCGGTGCTGGACAACAGAGGGTCAGCGTAGAGGTCAGAGGCGAAGATCTGGGATTACGATAAATGAAAGTCACCCACCTGGAGACTCAATGATGGTTGCCGCAACATAAAGACGTAGCCCTGGGAGATCAGCAATAGGAATAGTAAGCTTCTCCAGGGCACCCTGGAATTCGGCCTTTGAGAGGGAAATATGGCTCTGGCCATCCACTAGCTGGGGCAGAGAAGAAAAAGAACATGGGATGAGACTGAGTCTCCCACCTCAGCTCCCTTGTCTCCCCCACAGCCTCACCCCCTTCCTACCTTGGTCTGACTCTCCAGCCCCCGAAGGAAAGTCTTTACACCATCCTCACCCAGGAGCCCAAAGCGCACATATGCCACCCCCTGCACGGGCTTCCCATAGATATACCTGTTGCCATAAGGAGAATGGGAAGACGGTGAGCCAAGGGCTAGGGAAGATAATGATCTGAGGCGGGAGGGAGGTAGGTTCCATAGCCCATTCACACTGAATGGGGGGCAGGACCCAAGGGGTGCATTACCTGGCCTGGATGTCTAATTGGATTTCACCAAGATAGCCAGGTGCTGTCAGGATGTAGGGATTTCCAGGGGTGATCTTCACCTCAAAATTGGGAAGGACTGACACAGCAAAAAAGGGTAGGCAGGTCAGACTCCCGTTCAAAGATGCTCCTCTGCTTAGGACTGCGGTACCCGTATTTCCCTGGCCCTGCCCTGCTCCCACCACCTCTCCTTCCACCCTTATTTCCTTCAGGAAAGCAGTTGCCTGTCCCCAAATCTCCAGCTCTCACCATATTTCTTCACCTCAAACTGGGTGCTTCTATTGGATTCTGGACTGTCTGAGAATCGGGCTGAGATCTTCCAGGTGCCTGGCCTAAGGACAGACAAGGAAGGAACTCAGCTCATCCACACAGGAGGCCCACAGAGCCAGCGACCTGGTTCACTGGGAAGAGGACTCTGTGGCAAACCAGAGCCCCAGGAGGTCAAGGGTCAGGGCATCTCGGGAGGTGACTCTGAGTTGGAGGTAGAGAGCCTAACAGGAGCCCCTAGATTGGAGGAGCTCACTCTGAGATGTCTGGAATCACAAAGTCATCCTGGAAGATGGATGAGTGCATGTACATCGTCTTCTTCCGCACACGGAGACCGTGAGAGTTCTGTGGGGGGAGAAGTGGTCACAGGTGGGAGGTCATATCTGTGGCTAGGGTCAGGAAGGCTAGAGGTCAGGGACTCACCTCTACTGTGACTGTGATGGCCTCAGTGCATGGGCGCATCTTTTGATCCAGAGCAAAGACCCGGTACCGAACTGAGAATAGAGGAAGAGAGAGTTGAACAGGAGTCCATATGTGAAGGGAGGATGGGCCCAACTCCTGGGAGGGACAGGGCAACAAATATTTGCTAGGCAACCCTCCTGTGTAGTGCTTTCTTTCAGGTTATCTCACTTAGGGGCACCAAACATGTCCTAGGTAGGCTGGAAGGGGGTTAAGGGTCGAGGCTCTGGGCCTAGACTCACCCCTCTGGCCAGGGTTATAAATGGGCTGGTCAGTCTGCAGAAAGAGGTGCCCTCGACGAGTGGAGAAGAGCAGGTTGACACCCTGGATGTCTGTCGTTTTGGACAGAGAGTTCTTCAGCCATGGTGACTGGGCCACCAGCTGGACCCCAGGGCCTCCGCGGAGGAGGTAGAGGCCACAGTTTTTTATGTCTTTCATGGGGACCTGTCAGGAGAGGAAGAGGGAGTGGGTCAGAGAAAGAGAGGGCAGATAGAAAAGGATAGAGAGATCAAGACAGAAACATGAGCAGAGACCACCTAGGTCAGAAGAGAGGAGGGGAAGACAGCAGGAAGACGAAGACACAAGAAGACAGAGGGTAACCAGCCCCCTCTCCAGGAGGCCTCCAGAAGCAGTGGGGTTCAGTTACCTGGAGACTGAGGAGTACGAAGTCTTTTTCAGAGCTGAGGGTGAAGTCCGCCTTTGGGGAGCAGGGGGCATTATTATGGGATGGGTTTCTCAGGAATACTGATCCTCGCACTATCTGTCCTGGGGGCACATCCTGGAGCTGCACCCCCACCGATAGGGGAACCCCCAGATGAACCACGGAAGGAGAGAACAGGAGCAACCTGGAACAAAAATGAGTGCTGGCAGTCAGACTTTCCTCTGACCCCGCCACTCTGGCTCTCCCTCACTCCTGAACTGGGTCCCATGGCCAGCCCTACCCCAACCCAAGCACCCAGGATCCTGTCTCCAGTACCTGGGCTTCTGCAGAGACAAGGTGAAGAAGCTGGATGCCCAGATCAGCCCCCAGAGGAGCCTCATGGCTGGAGGATCCAAGAAGGGTCAGATCTGTCTGCCTACCTGCTCCCTTCTGGTCAACCTAGGCTTGGGTCAGAGTTGACGCTGGACTTGCTCCTCCCCTGGCCCAACAAATCCGGGAAACCACATGACAGCCAAGAAATGCAACTGGCCTCAGGCCCAGTCCTGGGGAGGGAGGGAGAATTTTGGACACTTGGGTCTCTAGGGGAAGCTGAGGGAATCTTGGCCCAGAGATCAATTCCCTGTTAACCCCTCTGATCCGAGTGCCTAGGTACCTCCCCCTACTGGGTGTATCTCCCCCCTATTGTCCGTGTATGTATGCACAGGAGCTCATGCATATGTAGATATACAAGGGCCCAACATGGCCCAGATATGCAGGATATTTAAAGACCCTAATAAATAAGCATGGGCTTTTATGACACTTGTCTCTTACTTTCACCCCAATACAAACTGAAGTATACTAGGCTTTTGCTTTTTGTAGTTCTAACAGAAATTCTGTGGTTTAAGAGATCAAGTGTACCCTTACCTCCCCACTGGAAGAACTGACTTGAATGTCAAAGTTAACCCTTTTCCTCTCTGAACAATGAGGCAAAAGCTTAAGTCTAGGTTTGGCTTTGTCTCTACCCACAAACAAGGCACCCGAACACAAACATTAAACAAAAGACACCCAGAAAATATCATAAGCAGATGTACTTTATTTGGCAATTTCAACACGACATGTAGGGAAGAGAACACTGCCCTCCTTCACTAGCCTCCCCAGAAATCCCACCTTCCTATCTCAAGAGAGAGTAAAAATAGCACCTTTTTACATGAAAGGGAACAGTAACAACCATGGCACAGTCTCAGGTTCCACTTTCATGGAAGGGCAGAGAAGTATTGCCCAAACCCCATCACTGGGCCAGAGCCCAAGCAAACAGCAGCAGCCACATCTGACCCTCCGCACAGATGAGAGCCCAGCACTCATCCTGGCTCCCAAACCTTCCCAAGGTGACCCTGTCTCAGCCACTGTCAGGCAGCACTCCCAGGCCACTCTTGACCCACTCTGGGGAGCTGTGCAACAACGAGCAGAATCCTCAAGTCTCTGGCAGGCGAAGGAGGGTTCCAGAAGTAGTGGAGATGCTGTGCAGGAGAAAGACAAGGCTGGAGCCAGATGCCTAGGCTCAAGATGTGAGAACTCAGGACTTGGCAAGGGGTGCTTCCAGATTCCAGAGAATGAGAGAGGATCTGGGCTTCACTTGTGCATTAAGCATGAGCCAGGAGGAAGTTTAGCCTTGGGTCATGGCTCTGTCATCTGCCAGAGGCTGGGGGCAAGACTCACCAGTCCACCAGCTGGGCCCCAATGAGGTCATGCACATGGTAGGCAAGGCCAAGCCGCACTGCAGCAGGTGCCCGCCGGCCGAGGAGCTCTGACAGGAGTAGCTCCCGGTACTTGGCCTTCCGGAGCATGCCAAGAACAGCCTGGCGCCCTGGAGGAGAGATAGCAAGGAGAGGGGAAAGGCAAATAAGGCCTAGAGGCTGGAGGAACCACCAAAAGGTGAGGAGCTGCCGGCTTAAGCTGCTGACAGGTTACCTTTAACAAAGTACTTGATGAATCTCCCAACTCCGGGCACAGCTAGCCACCAGCTCCCAGCATCTCGGACAGTGAAGACTCCAGCGTTCACCAGATGCCTGAGTGCAGTGGGAAGACAGCAGAGGTGAGGCCTGGGATCTAAGAACCATCTCTCCCCACCATCCATTAATGGTTGAACACTAAGTCTCCAGAAATGTGGGCAACCATGCAAGAGCAACTGGAGGCCAAAACCCCAACCTAGGGCAGTTCCCTGCTCACACTAGGCTGCTTACTGCCTCGGGGCCCCTGCTTTTCCAGTCCCCTCTGCCCTCCTTCCATTCTATCTTTTCCTGTTACTGTTATTCATTCAAACAGCTTCTCCTCTCAGAAGCCCTCCCTGACCACATGCCCTGGCACACAGTCATAGGACAGAGGCGAGAGATCAGAGCCTTCTGCATTTCTGCTACTGCCTAGGCATACCTCACCATAGCTCCTGCCACATCTCACTGAAAGTGTCTGTGTCCCATGAAATCAGTGCTTTAGTTTTCAACACATTTGTGATTGGCAAATTTTTCACTTTCCTAATACTGAAAGTGGGTGAAAATTTAAAAATTCTGAAGCTGGTTGTTGCAAACTTCTTTCATTAAGCACAAGTGAAATGGTCTTTTCTAAATTGTCACCTTTTTCACAATACAGTTGAAAGTTGCAGACATATCCGGTATTTGCCTCAGACAACACTCTGACTAGCATTCTATAATTTTTTTAAAATTCGGACTATAAACCAAATATATTATATATATATA